ATATAGAGTGTCGAATACAGAACTACAAATGTTGACAAAAAATGTCATCTAATTATATCAGAATTTTCCAATTTAATAAAAATCTAAAGAAATTGAAAATCTAAAACTTTTAATTGCTTTTTAAAATTCGCCTATTAGTTATTACATTCACCTTATTCGAAAATTTGCAGTATCAATTATTATAATGTCCTTTATTAAATGTTACATATTTTAGGGTGCTGTAACTTTTTATCATTGTAGTTATTTTGTGCCTGTATTCATAATTCTTATGAATTATGAAAATACATTCGCATTATTTTCACCTGAAATACTTCACTGGACTTGTGTATTGAATATTTTAATTATATTTCATACATACAATATATATGAAATTAAAATTTACTGACTGGGGCAAATAAACAGTTAAGCTTCCATATGGGAAATTCAATTTCCATTGGATATACACTTATAATACATTTGTACAAGAGAAAGAGTGAAAAAAAATGTGTTTGAAAATAAGAAATGAAAAAAAAAAAATTTTTTTTCTATTCTGATTTTCACTAAAGTGGCTATGAAATTATTTATGTGTTTGTCAATATATTCGCTTTATTATTCATATTAATAAAACATTTGGGGGAAAAGAAAATTTGAGATAAGTGACATAATCGATCTTAACGATTAATATAATTATATTTGGTCATAATATCTAATACAAATCTTATTAATATAATTCTATAAAATTAACTGGATAGAATAATATTAATTCTTTGAGATTTTACAAAAAAAAATATATAATACATTCATGACAACTATACATACATATGTATTTGAAATCGACTAGGTTTTCTGATGTGTAATAACAATAGGATTATCATAAGTTTCGAAAAATAGAGAAAATATAAATGTATATTGTTGTACTATTGAGATGCTACTCTGAAATACATTGCTGAAATTCTTTTCGTTGACAATATACTCTTAATGTCTCAAAGTTCATGACATGACGAAGCGAGAGAGTTTAACAGAGCAATTCTTTAATAATTTTTTGAAACTCATGATTAAAATTCATTCAAATTATTAAGAAATTAAAAGTAATGACGCATACTTAATGAAAAATTTTATTTACAAATCCTTAACAGAATATAAAACTCAAAGTACAAAATTTTTTTTCTACTATTTTTCCAAAACTTAAACTAAATGATTATCATAATCAATGGAAAAGACAACCTAATATAAATTTTAATGATTCTTTTAATGTAGGTGACTACTAAGGCGATCATAAATTTAACAGATTTCCTAAATAAAACATACCTATGTATGTGTGTATGTATTAGTCGCGTAGACAGTTTGATGGTGAGAGTGAAATTAATTTTTTAGTTTTTCAAAAATTCCTTTTCTTTTTCTAAAATATTTTTTCTTTTTTGGACGAATGTATATACATACATGCCTATATGTGTTTGTTATCTCAATATCCGCATACAAAATTTAATTTTGGTTATTGTAAAGTAGTAAAATTCGTTTATAATACGCACTAAAAATCGTGGAAAGCATTTAGTTATAGAGTATGCTACAGATAGCCCGAGAAAGTAAATTCTTAGATTACTTAGAATAAATTAATTAGATTTCAAAATTCTGACCTTTAACCACTCGTAAGATTATTTTTTAATTTAGGTCATCTGTTTTTATAAAAATTTAAACTGATTTGAAAAGTTAGGAGTAGAAAGCAATGATCCTAATGATATTACTAATGACTAATATTCAAGTCTTGACCAATTAATTTATTCGGAACTGAAAATTTTTCAGACCAACGCTATATTTTTAATTTAATCATGATTTTTTTTTTTTATTGCATTTTGATTGTACTAAATTTTTATAAGAAAGTTTTTTTGTTTGATAAATGAATGTTTAGCACATTTGTAAATTTTTTTTTTCCTTTTTCGGAAAAAAGATTTAAAGAAGAATTTTATTTAATGATCAAAATCACAATTCATAATGGTGGTTTCTATTTTTTTTTTGATTTTAAATTTTTTCTATTCGGTCAAATATCATCTTCCTATTTTTAGTGGGAGTTAATTATGAAGTGGAAATGGATACTGAAAATGTACAGAATTATTTAAGATAGTTGAGAATTTATATGAGATTTTCTTTTTTTGTAAATTGACCTACTTAATGTCTTTTTAATAATATGTTTATTTCAAATTAAGTTGTCTAAAAATGGTGAATTGAAATAAGGCAAATAGCATTATTGGAACTTCTATTTGGTATAAATATACATACGTTACAGTTACCGTATTATTTAAAATAGAGAATTTGTATGTATGTAGGTATATAAGAGATTTTTTAATCAATATTTAAAATTTGTCAAATTTTTACTCATATAATGAGAGCATACCTGCCAAGTCTAAAACAAACTATAGATACCGTAAGTAATATGTAGTTGCCACCTTGTCTACAGATCTGTTTAAAAATCTATTATTATATTTTCAATTATTTACCTACACATAACATTATGTACATATTTACATCCACAATTTCATCGAAGTAAACCAAAAATTGTTTAATGAAAAAATTAAATAAAAAAAAAAAATTAAAGATTAAAATTATATCAAAAAATCAAAATTTCATTTGACTTACAAAATTTTTAATTATTCGTCTAAATTGTTAACATAATTAATATAACTCGGTCTAGAACGGTCAAAATTACATAATTATTTTTCTTTTATTTTAGAGGACTTTATAGAAATTTAGAAAATTTTTGTTTTGAAACTGTTTTCTTATATTTGTGCAAGATTCAAAATTGATCTAATAAAATATTAATGAAATATAAAAATTATACATAACATGCATTGTCTACATACATATATATGAATGCAATATGCAAATGTAATATGCAAATTATAATTGAAAATAATGTCATATTCAACACAAAAAAATTTATTTAATAAAAGAGAATTTTCTAATTTGAATAAAAATATTTTAATACCAGAAAACAGAAATTTAAATCATTGTACTAAATTTAATAATAATTATCCATTTTCAATAAATAATGAATTAAAAACGGAATACTTGAATGATTTATTAATTATATCCAATAATGTAAGTATGTATGTATATATTTATAAATTTTGGTTAATTTTAGTATTATATTGCGAGGATATAAAAGGATACATTTTCTCATGTCTATATTCAGATTTTATGCAAAAAATTTGGATATAGCATTATCTATATACATATGTATGTATAGTATGATAATTAGGATTTGCAGAAAATGGATAATAGAAAGGTGATTTAACTCAAGTATTGATGAAATTTAATTGGAAATCACGAAATTATTTCATTGGAAATTTTCATATTTTGAAATCTTAAAGTACATATGTACGAACTTTTATTCAATTAGTTTAATTTTCATAATGCATTTAAAGTACATATTCTAAATTTCTTAAATTTAACAAATTTAGTTTATAACAAGAAATAAAATAATATTTTAATTCCCATAATTTCTATTAATAAATCAATTATACGTACATAAGCCATAATCAATTTATACGCACTTATAATAATATAAATCCTTATTACAAAGATTTCAAATATATCTGCATACCTTCAATATTATTTTCTTTTTCTTTTAGACATCACCATCAATTTCTTATATCAAATATAGTGGACAATTAAAATATAATAACTTAAAAAACTGTTCACCTAATTTAGAAGATGAAATTAAAAATTCGAAATCAGAAAATATTTCAATTTTTAATGAAAAAACATGCACATTCGATGATGAACAAAAATTATCAATAATTATAACAAATAAATTATGCCAGGAAGTCAAATGTCTCAAAAACGAATTAAATTTATTAAAATGTAATTATAAATTATCTTTGAAACAATCAAAACCAAAAATAATAGAAAAAAATCTAAATATTAATAATAAAAACGAAGATTTTCAAATATACCAAAATATAATTGAATCTTCTGAATCACTTTCATTATTGACTAGAAATTCATCTATACGAAATCTAAAAACATCTTCTAAAATTCAATTGAAGTCCAAAAATTCTTTATGTTCGGAAAAGTTAAAATGTCTACAAAATAAAATAATTTATCTTAAAAAACGTGCATTAGAAGCTACTCAATTTGAATCTGAATTAAAATGTGTTCGTGAACGAATGCATCTTATAGAAAAAGCTGCTGAAAATCAAATAACAAGATTAACTTTTGAAAATGAAAAATTAGAAAATTTTTTACAATATAGTCAAAAAAGTAAAAACAACAATTTTCTATATTCTGAATTAGAAATTTTGCAAAATGAGAACCGGTTTTTAAGAAATCAAATTACAGATTTAAAAGAAGCATTAATGTATCAATTTAATTGTTTAACAAACGCTAATGTAAGATTTGATATTAAATTTTATACTTATTTCGAATTATTTACATACATATATAGTTTAAAATGTGTTTATTTAAAAAAAAAGCAATCTCAGAATAAAGAATTTTTTATTTTACTCAAGCTTTACAATAAAAATTTGAAAGGGTTTCCTTATCAAAACGATGTTCAAAACACCAAATTAGATGATAGTGCTACGTGTAAACATAAAATAGAAGGTAAAGAGGGAATTTTTTTGGAATACAAAAAACTTTTATTTGGAATACAAGTAATTTTTGTCTTTGTTTTTACTAACAATATCAAATTTATCTTATATTTTTTTTTAATAAGCAATTTTTTACAATTTTGTGGAAGAACTAAAAAGCTAAGCAAATACAAATGGCCAAAAATTTGAATCTTGTAAAAATACGGAATTTGAATGAAATTTTTGTAATTAGCTCAATTCTTGTAAAAAAAATATTTAAATGTAATTGTAATTTAATAAAACTTAAAAATTTCTTTACAATTGAAGTGATTGTAATTGATAAAAAATCTTTACTTTTCTATTTACGTTTTCAAAAGTAAGATTTTTTGGAAATAAAACAAGCTTTTCTCTCGAATAATTATTTACAATTTTATTTTTGTTGTTTTTCTTTATTAATTTAGTCCATTACATTAAATTTTCCAAAAAATGTATTAAAAATAAATGTTTATCTAATGATTTTTAATTTTTTTATTTTTTTCAATTAATTTTTAATAAAATTTGCGAAATTAAAAGAGGTATATATATCTCTTACAATTACTTGTTTTTTTTTTTTTTTGATTTTATTAAAGTAAAATTTCAGAAACTTTAAAGTTTAACTAAATACTACTTTCTAAAAACTACATATATACACATTTATTTATATACTCGCTTTTGCATCATATTTATTTAAAGATTTGTTTATTTCTTTTCTTCCTAAAGTAGTAAAATTATAAGAATTTTTTTGTTTCTGAAAATTTATCAATTTTTAATAATATTATGAAAACCCCTAAAGTCCAGATATAATAACTTCTGTTGGTTCGGTTCTATCTTCACCATTATCAATTTCCATTTTATGTATAATTAATGGCGCTTGTTGGTTATCAGCAGGCGGTTTTGGTTGTCTCGGTGCGGTTTGGCCTAAAAAATTAAATTTATTTATATATTGTAAATGTATTTATTAAAAAATATTTCTTAAATTATTTAATAGCAACAATTATTTAATAGCTTGTTAAAGGAAAAAATTTAATTTTGTGAGAACATACCGTATTTTTCATGAATTCCCCTATGACGTTTCAAGGCAAAACGATCAGCAAACGCAGCTGAACATATATCACATTTAAAAGGCTTTTCACCAGAATGAACTTTTGCATGATTTTTTAGATGTGCAGCTTGACTAAAACATGAACCACAAATGTCACATTTATATGGTTTCTCACCGGTATGAATGCGTCTATGATTCCATAATGTAGCGTGTCTAGCAAATCCTTAAAGAAGTAATGAAAAATTCAATGAAATATAAATCCTTACTTATTAATGTAATTTTAATTTTTTGTTATATAAAAGTTTTACCTTTGTCACAAACTTCACAAACATAAGGTTTCTCCCCTGAATGAGTTCTTTCATGGTTTTTCAAATGTGGAGATTGAGAAAATTGCATTCCACAAGTGTTGCATCTAAAAAAATTAATATTGAAGTATTAGGTGAATTTATATATTTATAAAATAAATATTGTTTTATACTTGTAAGGTTTCTCTCCCGTATGAATCCTGGAATGGTTTTTAAGATAGACTGCTTTTGCAAAAGCTAATCCACATATTTCGCATTTATAATTTTTTTCTCCACTATGCAACTTTTTATGTGACCATAAACTAGAATATCTTGAAAATGTTCCCCCACAGATATTACATTGAAACTGTTTTGAGTGCCTAGTATCAAAAATGAAATACAAGAATATAATACTGTCATTTTTTTTTTTAAAAAGGCTTACTCTTGTTTGGTTGTAGTATTCATATTTGGAGTTTTTACTGGATGTGAATTTGTAGTAGCTCCTCCTTGATTAACCAAAAATATTACCCCACTACCATTGCATTTGTTGCATCTGGTAACTTGATTACGTTTTTTCAATGGATAATTTCCCTGTTGGTGGTGATGATGATGATGATGATTTTGATGTTGATTAGTATTAGAATTATGATTAATTTGCTGTGTATGATGTGTTTGTATTTTATGTAAATTGTGTTGTGGTTGTACATGAACCATTTGTGTTTGGTTCAACGTTTCAATAGATTCTTCGTTTTCAGGCAATTCACTCATTTCAAATTTAACATCACCATCGGGTGCAACAAATATTTGAGTGGATGCTGCTCGTGAATTATTTACTACAGCTGAATTATCGTTATTTTGTAAACAGTTTTCACAACGAATTTTTGTATTTTTACGTTTCCCTGTTGGCGTATGTAAAATTGCAGCACCACAACCGGAGCATTTACCTCGCTCCAACTTTAGTCCATTTGCTGTAGTTACGGTTACTTCATTCGCTGCTGTTGGTTGTTGTTGCTGCTGTTGTTGCTGTTGTTGTTGTTGCTGTTGTTGCTGTTGCTGCTGTTGTTGTAATGAAGCTGATTCTAGAGATTCTGTGGCAACTATTTGAATTTGTCCTAAAGGTTGACCACTTTCTGAAACTAATGTTTGACCTTGTAAAACGTTTGAATTACTATTACCTTGGGTAACAACAGTTAACGAAGAGTCTTGACTTTGATCTGATGAAGTTGTTTGCGTATGAATCCTTTTATGATGATTTAATAAAGTTAAGTGCGAAAACATTAATCCACATACATCGCATTTAAAACTAATATTTGATATAGTATTCTAAAAAAAGGTGGAAATGCAATAGTAGTAATTCATAATGGTTTTTAATATAAAATTTTAAAAACTTACAGTTATTGGTTTATTTACTATCTGTAATCTTCCTTGATTGTCAACGGTAGCTACTCCTGCGACTGTGCCGTTTGGTGCAGCTAATTGCATTTGATTAACAAGAGCATAATTATATCCACCTAACGGTTGAGCTATATAACAAGTTTTATTTTCATCACCTGCTAATTGGGCTAAATTAATTGTTGCATTGCCCTAAAAAAAAAAAAAAGAAAACTATAAAACTTATTCGATATTCAAAATTAAATATAAAAGACAAAACGACGAGTTATAAACAAAAAGGAAAAAAGATATAAAAAGGATAAAAAAAAAATAGGAAAATAAACAAAATAAAAATTTAAAAGCTGCTATATAAGTGCGATTATTTTTATATAGCAAACTCACACCAACATTTGTTGTATAAAAAGTTGGAAAATCTTGAGTTTTTTGACCTTCAATTTTTGGTTGTTTTAATATTGTTCCATCAGCTGTTTGATATTGTATTGTTGCTGGTTGACCATTTTGTATTGAATTTGCTGTAAACATTATGGTTTTAGTGATATCTTCCATTTAAAGTAAACTACAACAAAATAAAAAAAACAATTCAAAAATATGCAATTATGTTCAGCAAACTTTCAAAAATACAACAATTAAAAACTTAAAATAAGTTAATCTTACAAATAAAGAATATTATTTATAAAAAACTAAAGAAATGAAAAAAAAAAAAATAAAAAAAAAACTTCACTCAACTTCAAACTCTTTTCCATTAAAAAAAAAAAAAATTGTGTTTATAAACAAATCCTAAACTGTCAAATTTTCTTTTAAGTTCGCATTATGTTGTTCTCATTTTCAAAAGTTTAGCAGAGACAAAAAGAAATAGATACATTATGTCCATATCTAGTATGTTAGAAAAGGAAAGATATATATAACAATTGAGAAATTGCACAAAAAAAATTCATAAGCATTTAATAAAAACCTACTTTCCCTTATTTTAAAATAGTTTCGCATTCAAATTTATGTGCCAGAAAGAAAAAAGCATATATCGCTTTTTTTATTTTAAGAAAAAATTCATTTTTGGGGGGATAAAATAAAAATAGCGCCATATTTAAAATCAGCAAACATCAAAAAGTTTTGATACAAATTTTATGACGCCAACAATATATTTCAATTATGTTTTTTTAAAATAGAACACCACCATCTTGGAATTTACGAAACGTCCAATTTTTTACATATCTAACATGCTAATTCGTTTTCTTTTAAATTAAATTTTGAAATTTTTTATTTTATGAAAATGTACTCATGGATAACTCCCTCTCTTTCCTGTTTTAGGAATTTTTCAATTAGAAAAGCATTCACATTTTCTTATCCAATCAGTCCAAGATGTGCGCCAGAGATTTTCCGTCTTCCGACATCATTTTCTTCTTTCTTTACTTGGAAATAAAGCGTGCGGAAGAAGATTTTCTATTTCTTTTTTTTTTTCTTCAAAAACTATGAATTTTTTTTTTCTGCTCTTCATTTCTACATACTAATGTCAAAAAATACCAAAACAATAACACTACAATTTCTTATAAAAAAAATTTCCAAAATTTTTGCCTAAAAATTTAAAAGCCAAAAAAAAAAACTTAAAACTTCAAATTAAAAAAAAACTTTACTCAATGAAATAAAAAAAAAAAAAAGAAAAAAGTGTATTAAATTGTATGAAGGTAACGCTTACACAAAAACTTATCTAATCACTATACCACAGAGCACTACATGTCCTCGTTTTTTTTTTTTTGCCTTAATTTTTTCAATTTTTCAAAAATTTTAATCACTTCAAAAATTTATTCAATTTTTTTTATTGTATTATTTTTAAATTGTTTTTAAAAATTATTTTATTACACTAGGAGTTGTTAAAACAAAAAATAAAAAACGTACAACGTAAGTTGAAATCTTTTGTCTCGGTTTTTCTAAAAGAAAAAAGTATGGCTGACTACTTGGCTTGCTTCTTTTTTTGTCATCCCTGTTGTTCACCTTTCGAAGAAAAAAAAAAGACTATGAAATTAAGAAAGGCTAGATGATAAATCGATTTGTACTCTTCTTTCATACATGACATAAATTTATATGACATTTGGGTTGACAATCTATATATTATTTATATATTAACATGCGACATCTGGCGGCTAGAATTGAAAACGCGAAATATTTTTATTCTATAAAAATGTGCTTTTTAATTATAATTTAATTATACAAACCATTTTCAACCATTTTCAAAATATTATAAAATTTTTAAAATGAATTACATATTAGATAATTTTCGATAATACAAAATAGCAGAACGAAAAACTTAAATTTCCGAAAAAGTATGAAAGGCGTTATTGCAAATATCACATCTTTTTTTAAGTGTATAATTTTAGTGGGCATTTAGTGAAAAATTTTTACAAGTACAGGCATTATATTGAAACACATGACCATTAGACTCGATTGAGTCAAATGAAAGCAAAATTTACAAAAGTATAATGAGCGATGGCAACTATTTTTGACAGTTCGTTTTTTAAAAATAACAAAAAATTAAAGAATAGATTCTCAAAAATGTGAATGATAAAAACAATTATAGTAGGCCCCTTTGTTTTATTGTTATAAGACCTTTAAAAAAACTTGGCGTTTGAAAAAATATATTTAGGGGTTATACAATGCGACTCAACGTAAGTTTTTTTTTTTATTCAACTGCAAACAAGATATCCAAGATCCAAGATATTTCTTCGATTTGGTCACTACAAATACTTTGCGACTCAACGTGTTAAAAAAATTTATAAGTAGTGTGCAAGACTTTTGTTTTGATATGGAAACCCTACCGTAGTTACCCTAAATACACTTCATCTAGAATTAGAATGTTCAATCTTTAACAAACAAAAAAAAAATTTTTTGTTGTTGTATTTTGGTTGGGGATCAAAAAAAGTTATTGATATAATTCTTCAAAATAAAAATATATGTGCTCAATTTGATGTAAAATCGAACTTTTTGATTTCGCAAAGTTTTCTATATTGAACACGAACATTTATGACATTTCGTATGTAAAAAACATGTTTTTGTTTTTTCAAACACAATAAAATATATAGACACATATAGGTATTGTTCATGTTTATTTCAAATTACTAGCTGTCTTATGTTTAAATGATCTCCGAAAAAGTTATTAGAACTATAGAGATAATTATAAAATAAACGGTAGACCTCTATTGTTAGTAGAACGAAGATAGGGATGCATTAATGTAAAAAAAACTATTAACTCAAAAGAGTTTGCGTCTTTGAAGATATTTCTATGTCATTTAAAAATGTCACAATTTCTATTCAAATTTCAAAGAAATTCACAATTGATTGTAATTCAGAATATCTTTCCGAAATTATAATTTAAAATATTACTGTGAATATTTAATGTTACGTAGCAGTATGCTAATGTAGCTAATTGAATAGAATTTTCTACGATTTATTGTGACTTATTGTCAAATTTCATTTATTTAAATTTAAATTCAGTTGGTGTGGTTTAGGAGATGCATAAATTTGCTATATAATGTACATACATATGTATATTCAAAAACTAAATAAAGGATTAAATTATAATAAGAAATAAATTGACTGTGTGATTATCGGCTTTTATTGAGCTTAATCAAAAAGCAATAAAGGATATCAAAACAAGAAAGAAAAATTAATTTAAAATTGAATGTCATGTAAGTTAAATTAGCAATAAGCGCGTATTAAAATATACAAATTTTTAAACACTAGTCCAAAAATATTACCTAAATAATAAGAAGAACTGCAACATTTGCATGAGTGATTACCGCAACTGACCGGCCCTTTAATTAAATTTTCAAACTCCAATAAATACCTACTTACATCAATTTGCGCATACTTTTATACATATGTACACAGGTGTATACAATTTGGCGGGTGTTTGCGGATGTCAAACATGAGTTTATATATTAATAAAAAAAAATTCTATTTAATATATGAATTTACTGTTATAGGTACATATATGTATGTAGGTATGTAGGTATAACTTTCAAAACGCATAAATATTTGTTAAACTTTATAAAGTTTTACACAATAATGCCCTTGTACTTTTTATTTACAATATTTTTTAATTTTAAGGTTGGATCTATTAAGAAATCGGGAAAAATATCAGAAGTTTTTAATTAAAATATGAAGTACTTATACTGCAGAGTTTGCAAATACTCACCTACATAATTGTGCTGTTTAAAAATTATTTGGCAGTGAGGTAAATTTTTTAATCTTGTGCACATTTTTATAAGTATAACCGTGTATTCTTCCATCTTGAGTTGATTTCAAAATTTTCTGATATGGTCCAGCATCTAAAATTTCTAATAATTTTGTATATTTAAAATTCAATGATTCCATTCACTTTAAAGATTCATATTGTAATTTTTGCTAACGAGTAGCATTTTTCAAGATCAATTTCAGTCTACTTAAAAAAAATATTATGTGTTGTGTAATTTCAAAATTGGTATGAAGGTATAGGTACAATAATATTTAAAAAATATAAATTTTCTTACCTTTATGGTCAGTGAAAAAGTTAAACGTTTTCTTTTATCACCTATCAAAAGTACATTTTCAACACAAGGGAACTCCCTTTTAACATATTTTTTAATAAAAACAGTTGGAATATTTTCACCACCGGTTGTAATTTAAGTTCGGTAATTCGCCAATCAAATATATAAATTATAATTATTGTAAAGTCGACCTAAATCATCATTAAAAGTTTCTGCAGTTCGTTCAAATGTTCCATAGAAAACAACGGCTTTCAATCCATATACCTATGAAAAAGTTGGAAAATTTTGTTTATTTGTACCATTTGTATGTACCTGCTAAAATAAATTATTTTTAAATAATCTCTCCAATTCCTATTTCATTAGAATTATGAATTTTTAAATCAACTCCATCTAAAACATGCCAATTATTTCACTTTTTCTCAATGTCATGTCGTTAAATGTAATTGGCTTCATTTAATTCTAGAAAAATACTTTTTTGTTTCCAAATTTGTTGGGGCAGATTCAGGTAAAAATGTAAGACATTTGCCGAGCCAAATTGCTGATTAAATTTTATATATAATTTGTTGTCCAGTTACCATATGAGGTATCATATGAGTTCCTCAAGAGAAATCTTGGGCATTTGAATAATTCTAATTCTGTAAGAAAGTGGAGAAAATCTCGATGCACTTCAGAAAATTATTCGTACCAGAAAAAATGGGAAGAAAAAGAAAAGATGGGAAGAAAAATATTTAAAATTTAAATATTTCTCGAATCCCGATAAATGTTCATAGGTGAAATAATTTTCTTTACTGTGTTTAATTTTAAAAGTAAAAGCAAAAATTAAAAACTATTTCCGAAAATTTATTCATAAAATTTTTCAATAATGTGCATGTATTTTTGTTTTATTCCGCTTCTTTTTAGCTTCAATGTTGGCCCTGAAAAAAAAAACAAGATGGAAATTATGAAAATTTTTTTCATATTTTTTGACATTCATTTTTGAAATTTTTATGAATTTACGGAAAATTTTTTTTTTTAATATGTAACTATGTATTTCTTGAATACTTACCTAATTCACCTGTAACCATCGAAAAATCGTTTGGCAGTAAAGCAAATTTTTTTATTGTGTGAACATTTGATATTGCTTTTTTATTATAACGATCGACTCCATCTTGAATTGATTTTAGGACTATAGGACATGGTCCAGATTTTAAAATTTCTGATAATTTCGTATATTTTAAATTTAATGTTTTTATCCACTGTAATGATTCCTGTTCTAATTCATCTAATGGGCCACCATTTTCTGGATCCATTTTAGTCTGTTAAAAGTACAATATATTATAAGTTTAGAATTAATAAATTAAGTACCAGTCCATTCTATACTTTTATTGTTAATAAAATACTTAAATATTTTCTCTTGTCACCAATTAAAAGAGCATTACTAATACCAGGTAATTCTTTTTTAATAGATTCTTCAATAAGAATAAATGGAATATTTTCACCACCCGATGTAATTATAAGTTCTTTAACACGTCCAACAATATATAAATCATTATTATTATCAACTCGACCTAAATCACCAGTTTTAAACCAATCACCTACAAAAGATTCAGCAGTTTTTTCGGGATCATTTAAATAACCCATAAAAACAGATCGGCCTTTCAGTAATATCTATGAATTTAAAATCAAAAATGGTTTTGAATTTTATGATAAATCGTTTGTATATTACCTCTCCAATTTTATTTTCATCTGGATTAAAAATTTTAATTTCATTGCAATCCAACGGATTGCCAACAGTATCAAAATTCCTGATGGTTGAATCATTAAATGCAATTGGTCCAGTTTCAGAAAGTCCATACGCTTCATATAATAAAATATCAATACTACAAAAGTACTGTTTTGTTTTTGAATTCGTTGGTGCAGCACCAGTCATAAATGTACGACATCTATCAAATCCCAGAGCAAATTTGACTTTATTCGTAATTTGTTGTCCGGTTTTGTAAGCTACGATATTACCATAACCTCTAAAATAAAATATATTGAAAATTCAAAGTTTTAAATTTTATCACAATTACATATTTTTTACCCTTCAAGTCAGTAAAATCTTTTTACTTGTTCGACTTATGTTAAACTTACCCACTAATTCGGGCATCGTGATAATTAAAAACAAATTTTTTGGCAACATTCAGTATAAAGGAGCTTAAGTAATTTGAATTTGATTCGACTTGAATCATTTTTTCATGTATTTTTTCCCATACTCTTGGTACACCAATAAATCTTGTTGGACGTACTTTAATTAATGCTTTGACAAGAGTACCTTTCAATGCATCACGGTCAGCAAAATAAACGCAACCAGCAAAACATATTGGCATAAATAAATCAAAATATTGAGCAGCGATATGACTTAGTGGTAGATATGAAACAAGAATTTCTTCCCCAATTTGTAAACTTTCAAGTCTTTTTGATGCTGCTTTGCAACTAGATATAATATTATCATGTGATAACATAACACCTTTTGGTTTACCAGTTGTACCAGAAGTAAATATTAATGAACAACATTCATTCGGTACCAATGAATTAAAACGTTTTTCTAATTCAATTTCAATATCATTATCAATTTGAATTTGTTCAATATCACTCCATTTATAATAACCATCTTCAACACTTACAAATGAATCAAATGGTCCATTAATTTGTATTATAGTTTTTAATTTTGGTAAATTTTCTTTAATTACACGAATTTTATCCATTTGTTTTTTATTATCAACAATACAAATTGTTGCACCAGCTGTTTCTAAAACATGTTGTACAGCATCAGGACTATTTGTTGTATATATTCCAGCTACAATACCACCAGCATATACTGCAGCTATTGCTGAATAAAACCATTCTGGACAATTAAATGCTAATATACCAACTGAATCACGTTCTTTTAATCCCAACTTAATGAAAATTTTCGCAATTTTACGAATTTTTTTCTCGTATTGATTGTAATTTATTGTATTCCAATTTTTTTCGATATCTTGAAATGCCAATGCTGGACGCTGATTAAATTTTTTTACAGTATTTTGAAAATACTCAGGTATTGTAATTGGTTTTGCGCTGCCAATTTGCTCAATATTCCCCATTTGAATTTTTACTCGTTGATCCAGTTTAATTGCATATCTAGCTAGCATTTCATTGTTATTTAAAACCTTGGTTTCCATTACTTTTTTGTTTTTGTTTAAAGCTTAAAATCCATAAATGTATTGAGTTTTTGAATGCAGATTAGGAAATATTTTCTTTAAATATTTTTAGAATATTTGAAGTAGTTTCCTTAAAGAAGTTCGCTTTACAAATAAACTGTTTTTTGGCTTTGCAGGTCATTTTTAAAATTATAAAATTTTTTCAAATAAATTTGTTTTTTTTATTTATAGTCATATTGTATTCTTGTTTTTTACATAATTATGTTGAAAATTTAGCAATAGATTTATTTTTAAAATTGTTTTCAATTGAAGGAAATAAATAATCAATTAAATAGGCATTTGAATGCTAATTAATTACACGAACTGTTAATGATGAATTAATGAATAATTGTTAATTAATTAAATAAAATTCTTAAAGTTTAATGGTAAAAGAAGAAGAATTATTTACGAGAAGAATATTTTGGATTAATATTAACAAATTAATCAATTTTATGTAAGTGTTTTATAGAGGCTTTGTAAGATTTCTCCTAAAAGTATGCAGATATTTAAAAAATTTTTTTGTTAAAATGACAAGTTATTTTAAGATCCCGTAGCTATGCATTTAATTTAAAAATAATACACAAAGTGAATAATTTTTAGTAAAAGTTTTATTTTAATTCATTAATTAACTTTGGAAAGTACTTATTAATTTGAATTTACTTCACAACTACGTACGTAGTTAATTCATAAAATATTAATAAACATTTTTAAATCTTATTCATAAATCTTTTCAATAATATCCTTGTATTTCTCATTGACAAAATTCCTCTTTATTTTTAAAGTTGGACCTATTCAAATCGGAATAGAAAAACATTAAAAGTTTATATCATTGTCGAGTATACTGAAATATCTTAATATTGTATCAAACACTGACCTAATTCTCCTGTAATAATCGAAAAATCATGTGGTAATAAAGCGAATTTTTTTATTGTATGAACATTTGAGATTGCTTTTTTATTATAACGATCAATTCCATCTTGAATTGATTTCAGGACTATAGGACATGGTCCAGATTTTAAAACTTCTGACAATTTCGTATATTTTAAATTTAATGCTTCCATCCACTGTAATGATTCCTGTTCTAATTCATCTAATATGCCACCATTTTCAGGATCTATTCTTGTCTATAAAGAAAACATTTATTTATATCAAAAGTTTTGAGATAATAAATGAAACTCTATTATTTTTCACCTTTATAGTTAATAAAATTGTTAAATACTTTCTTTTGTCACCAATTAAAAGAGCATTACTAATACCAGGTAATTCTTTTTTAATAGATTCTTCAATAAGAATAAATGGAATATTTTCACCACCCGATGTAATTATAAGTTCTTTAACACGTCCAACAATATATAAATCATTATTATTATCAAGTCGACCTAAATCACCAGTTTTATACCAATCGTCATCAAAAGTTTCAGCAGTTTTTTCCGATTCATTTAAATATCCCATAAAAACGGAACGACTTTTAACCAAAATCTTAAAAGCAAATGTTCTTTATAGATTTTTATTTTATAAAATTTTTATAAAAATTACCTCTCCGACTCCTTTTTCATCTGGGTTATGAATTTTAATTTTGATTCCATTTAAAAGTTTGCCAACTGTTACGAAATTTCTCATTGCTGCATTGTTTAATGAAACAAGTCCGGCTTCAGACAATCCATACCCATCATATATAAGAATATCAATACTACAAAAATAACGTTTTGTTTCTAAATTTATTGGTGCGGCACCAGTTATAAATGTAAGGCATTTATCAAAACCAAGACCATTTTTAACTTTATTTGTAATTTGTTGTCCAGTTTTATATGCTATAAAATTACCATATTCACTAAAAAAAAATAGAACATGTAGCAAGTTACAAAATTAAATTTGAGTTTTTGCTGTTATCAATTTTTCAGTTGGTGTATAAAATGAGAGTAGCTGAAGCTCATTTATATTTTGTTTTTAATGTTAATATTGAAACAAAAATATTTCTTACTCACCCTGTCATGTGCGCTTCGTGATAATTGTGAACAAATTTTTTTGCAATATTTAACAAAAATGAATTTAAGACATTTGAATTTGCTTCAACTTGAATCATTTTTTCATGTATTTTCTCCCATACTCTTGGTACACCCAAAAACCTTGTCGGGCGTGCTTTTATTAATGTTTTAACAAGAGTACCTTTCAAAGCATCACGATCAGCAAAATAAACACAACCGGCTAATATTATTGGTAAAAATATATCAAAAATTTGAGCTGCAATATGATTCAATGGTAAATATGAAATCAGCGTTTCTTCACCTATCTTAACAGCTTCAAGTGCTTTGAAAAGTGCTTTAACGGTAAATATAATATTATCATGTGATAACATAACACTTTTTGGTTTACCGGTTGTGCCAGAAGTAAATATTAATGAACAACATTCATTCGGTACTAATGCATTTAAACGTTTTTCTAATTCAATTTCAATATCATTGTCGATTTGCATTTGTTCAATATCACTCCATTTATAATAACCATCTTCAACACTTACAAATGAATCAAATGGTCCATTAATTTGTATTATAGTTTTTAATTTTGGTAAATTTTCTCTGACTACACGAATTTTATCCATTTGTTTTTTATTATCAACAATACAAATTGTTGAACCAGCTGTTTCTAAAACATGTTGTACAGCATCAGGACTATTTGTTGTATATATTCCAGCTATAATACCACCAGCATATACTGCAGCTATTGCTGAATAAAACCATTCTGGACAATTAAATGCTAATATACCAACTGAATCACGTTCTTTAAAACCCAATTTAATAAAAATTTTCGCAATTTGACATATTTTCTTCTTATATTCATTGTAATTAATGATTTTCCAGTTTTTTTCAGAATCTTGAAATGCCAATGCTGGACATTGATTAAATTCCTCTGTTGTATTTTGCAAAAATTCTGGAATTGTTATTGGTTTTTCAACATCATTTTGTTCTATTTGAATTTTTACACGTTGATCTATGCTGCTTGTATGCCTTGGAAATTCATCAATGTCATATTTCATATCTTCTTTGTTTTGAAACATTTTAATTTTCTTTAAAAATTTACAATATTTTTCGATTTCTTCACGAATTTTAATTATTTATTTGTTCACTTGACTAAATTCATTTGATTATTAAAATTTTGAGACGTTAAAAGAAACCATTTGAATATTCAATAGAAAAATTTATTTTGCTTTACTTTCAAAACTACAATCCAGTTTTTATTAACTTGCAATACCAAAATTGGAATTCCTAACACGGGTGTAGGTTGTCAAAAAAATAAGTAATTATTCTTCTGGATCTTCAACTTCAGAATTATTGTTTCCAGTGACTTTTTGGAAATTGAAATTAAATCAGTATGTGCTTTTTAGTTTCTCAGTTTTTAAACCAAATATTTTTGTAAATATTTTGTAAATTAAATATTTTGTAAAGTAAATATTTTTTGTAAAATAAATTTACTTCAGAATTAATGAATAACAAATTAGATCTCCTTCCTTAATTTAGTTAATGTTTGGTTTAGTAAATTGTATTTTGTTTGTATATTATAGATTTATTAATGTTAACACTTTGCTCCATAATTTGTTAATGGTTATTCTTTTATTATATTTTTTAGTTAAATAAAATTTCAACAATAACTCAAATAAATTAATAATGGATTTGATGAGAAAAGTTTTAGCAAATTATTTTTAAAATTTTTCGGCTCCTATGTTGTATTATAAAACGTAGTTTCAATTAGAACTTGTTTAAAAAGCTTTAATTCAATCTCGAATTGAATTTGACTTATAAATTTTGCTTTTTACATTATTACCAGTTTATTAATATTAGTTATATTTTAAGGAAGTAATATTACGGAATGGTGCGAGAGCGAACCCTCAATTCAATTTTTTTCAATACTAGAGATGTAGTTTTACACAACATATAACGTTATGCCCATAAAATTTGAAATTTTTTAATATTTTCTTTAACCAAGGTTCAACCACTTAATGGTTGATCAATTATTTCACTAACGATTCAACGTGTTGAAAACGTGTTGAGGAACCAAGTTGAATAATTGATGGCTAGCATAATTTTTTTAAAATTCAAACAACCCTTTTTACATGTAACAAGATAGTAGAGGATAGTTAATGAAGATACCAATTTAAACCTAATTATCTCGTGAGACTAGTATTTTTATGGTTTATCCCACAGCGTCAATAAATAATCAAGTAAAAATATTCGATGTTAGAAAAATAAATGTGCAAAAAAAATAAAAATAAACATGTTTTGCTACAAATTCTTATGTATAATTACCAAATTGGGTAAACATTAAGCAATAAGATCGTATTAATTTATTAGTTATTAAAAATATTTAGAAAAATATAATAAAAAATAAATAACTTTTGTTTTCTAGTAAAAGCAAAGGCTTAATGGTGCTGGTTATGAGGGTTATAAGCAATGAAAATGTTCCTAATGCGGGCATGTCTTTAGAATATCATAGTTTAGATAAAATCTACTTTGAATCTATGAATATGCCTTTTAGCCGTACATTTTCCAGGAATCTGTGGTCTAGTTAAACAGTATTTTCATTCCAGACATAATACCAGCTTATATCTATTATGATTATCAGCTATTAAGCAATCATGTAAAAATGTATGCGGGTAACATGTTTGAGAACATATGAGTTTATTGAGAAAAATCCTAAGCGTAAAGGACACTTGAATTCTGCTGCATGTTACTAATTTTGTAAGAACGTGGAGAAGACCTCGATGCATTTTTCCATAAATTTTATATGAGAAAAAAGAAGAAGTAGCAGTTATTGCGATTTAAAATTTTAATATATCCCGAATCCAAATAAATGCTCATATGTGAATACTTTTTTTACTATGTTAACTTTAAAAGTAAAAAAAAAAAAAATTAAAAATTCTTTTCGAAAATTTATTCATAAAACTTTTCAATAATGTGCATGTATTTTTCTTTTATTCCGTTTCTTTTTAGCTTCAATGTTGGCCCTGAAAGCATAACAAGATGAAAATTATGAAAAATTTCAGATTAATTCTTGAAAATCTTATGAATTGAGTTTTCCAAATTTTTTTTAAATATATAGGCACATAGCTGTGTATTTCTTACATACTTACCTAATTCACCTGTAACCATCGAAAAATCGTTTGGCAGTAAAGCAAATTTTTTTATTGTGTGAACATTTGATATTGCTTTTTTATTATAACGATCGATTCCATCTTGAATTGATCTTAGGACTATAGGACATGGTCCAGATTTTAAAATTTCTGATAATTTCGTATATTTTAAATTTAATGCTTCCATCCACTGTAATGATTCCTCTTGTAATTCATCTAATGGGCCACCATTTTCAGGATCAATTCTTGTCTATAAAGAAAACATTTATTTATATCAAAAGTTTTGGGATAATAAATGAAACTCTATTATTTTTCACCTTTATTGTTAATAAAATACTTAAATATTTTCTCTTGTCACCAATTAAAAGAGCATTACTAATACCAGGTAATTCTTTTTTAATAGATTCTTCAATAAGAATAAATGGAATATTTTCACCACCCGATGTAATTATAAGTTCTTTAACACGTCCAACAATATATAAATCATTATTATTGTCAAGTCGACCTAAATCACCAGTTTTAAACCAATCACCTACAAAAGATTCAGCAGTTTTTTCGGGATCATTTAAATATCCCATAAAAACAGATCGGCCTTTCAGTAATATCTATGAATTTAAAATCAAAAATGGTTTTGAATTTTATGATAAATCGTTTGTATATTACCTCTCCAATTTTATTTTCATCTGGATTAAAAATTTTAATTTCGTTGCAATCCAACGGATTGCCAACAGTATCAAAATTCCTGATGGTTGAATCATTAAATGCAATTGGTCCAGTTTCAGAAAGTCCATATGCTTCATATAGTAAAATATCAATACTACAAAAGTACTGTTTTGTTTTTGAATTCGTTGGTGCAGCACCAGTCATAAATGTACGACATCTATCAAATCCCAGAGCAAATTTGACTTTATTCGTAATTTGTTGTCCGGTTTTGTAAGCTACGATATTACCAAAACCTCTAAAATAAAATATATTGAAAATTCAAAGTTTTAAATTTTATCACAATTACATATTTTTTATTTACCCTTCAAGTCAGTAAAATCTTTTTGTTCTTGTTCGACTTATATTAAACTTACCCACTAATTCGGGCATCGTGATAATTAAAAACAAATTTTTTGGCAACATTCAGTATAAAGGAGCTTAAGTAATTTGAATTTGATTCGACTTGAATCATTTTTTCATGTATCTTTTCCCATACTCTTGGTACACCAACAAATCTTGTTGGGCGTGCTTTTATTAATGTTTTAACAAGAGTACCTTTCAAGGCATCACGGTCAGCAAAATAAACGCAACCAGCAAAACATATTGGCATAAATAAATCAAAATATTGAGCAGCGATGTGACTTAGTGGTAGATATGACACAAGAATTTCTTCCCCCACTTGTAAACTTTCAAGTCTTTTTGATGCTGCTTTGCAACTAGATATAATATTATCATGCGATAACATAACACCTTTTGGTTTATCAGTTGTACCTGATGTAAAAATTAATGAACAACATTCATTCGGTACCAATGAATTTAAACGTTTTTCTAATTCAATTTCAATATCATTGTCGATTTGCATTTGTTCAATATCACTCCATTTATAATAACCATCTTCAACACTTACAAATGAATCAAATGGTCCATTAATTTGTATTATAGTTTTTAATTTTGGTAAATTTTCTTTAATTACACGAATTTTATCCATTTGTATTTTATTATCAACAATACAAATTGTTGCACCAGCTGTTTCTAAAACATGTTGTACAGCATCAGGACTATTTGTTGTATATATTCCAGCTATAATACCACCAGCATATACTGCAGCTATTGCTGAATAAAACCATTCCGGACAATTAAATGCTAATATACCAACTGAATCACGTTCTTTAAATCCTAATTTAATGAAAATTTTCGCAATTTTACAAATTTTCTTCTCATATTCATAATAATTCATAATTTCCCACTTTTTTTCAGAATCCTGAAATGCTAATGCCGGACGTTGATTAAATTCTTTTATTGTATTTTGTAATAGTTCAGGAATTGTAATGAGTTTTTCTTTATTATTGCACTCATTATCATCGATTTCAATTTTTACACGTTGATCTATTTTAGTTGCATGACGCGGTAATTGCTTTATGTTATACCCAACAGAGTTATCTGCTCTTTGAAACATAATTTGATTTCTTTAGAACTATTGAAATTAATTAATAAGTTCTATGTTCATATATTTTTAATTTTTTAATTAAAAAAGTCTTCTTAACTTAATTTTATTTAATAAAAATTTCAAGAATATTAAAAAGTTCTTCACGTGTCGAAATTCACTTTGCAAATAAACGTTTTCTTTATTTGCTGATCACCTTAAGTATAGGCGAGAAATATTATTTTATACATATTTGATTTTTCTATTTTAATAATGGCCGCCCCCCGTTTTATTTTTGAGCTAACAAGCTAACAATGTGGAAATTCAACAGTTCAAAATCCTGATGCTAATTATTTTTGATTTGTTTGTTTTTTTTTTGTCATTATCTTTTTAAAATTTATAAAAATTCTCATTTTTTTTTTTGTTTTTTGGTTATTTTTTACCTTTATTAATTTTCTTCCGATTTCCCGCTAAAAAAGAATATTCATTGAAACGTAAAACACAACGGATAATAAATAATTTTAATTTTCATATACAGGCATCTGCTTACAAAAAAAATATAGAACCAGTTTTATTTTGAATTACAAGTACTTTCGTAAATTATACTGTCGATTAATTCAAAATGCGCTAACTCAAAAAAATTCAATTTTGAGTAGAACGTATTTTATAATAGAATTGCTGGCTTAGTGTTTTTGAAACTAATGAAATGTTTATAATAAAAGTTATAACATGAAAATAGCATAAAAATTTGAAATTAAAAAAATCATATGTTTCCAAAAATAAACGGAGATTTGGAAAAAAGTGATTTAGCACGTTTTGGATATTAATTAACAATATCTTAATTGGTTGAATATTTTAGTTTTAGTTTTAGTTTTATTTTTTTTTTTAAAATTTTGCAAATTGAGAATAAATGTGATTTGTTGTTTATTGAAAATAATTACATAATATTTTTAATTTCAAGAACTCTTTGTACTATTATTGCTTATTGCATTGATACGGTCTTAGATGACATATTTTTTTTACACTTATCGCGATATTATAACGATTGACAATGTCACAAATAAATATTATAGTGTGAAAATTGAATCACAAAGCTGTTTGAATATTATATTAAGCACATTTGAAATTTTTTCAATTTTAATGATGATTTGCTTCTAAAGAACTATAATTATATAAAAGTTTAAAATAATTTTTAGAAATTATTAATAATTTTCAGTTTAAACTTCTGTTTTTCCAGGAAATGGCCAAGTTCAACTGATCCTTAATGAGGCAACATTTCAATTCATTTAAATATTGAACGTTTGCGATCTTTATATAGCCTTTTATCTATTGTAAAAATCACTTATTCACACAAGTCGTTTATTTGTGGTTCATGTGATTTTCATATAATAATCTCATTGCTCATATAACCGGCCTCAACACCGACAATAGTCATAATGTGTTGAGGCCGGTTGATTAAATTGACAAATTTAAGAATAAAAGAGTCATAATTAGCTATTTAATTCAAACTTTATTTCTAAGCAAATAATTTAAAGATGAGTATAGTTTATGCAAAAAAAATTATGTATTACAATTGTTAGCTACAAGACATTTCAAAGAAAATCTCGTTTAAGATTCGATAATATTCTTATTTCAGATTCGTAAATTTTCAAAATAATTTTAAAAATTAATTTAAAAAAAAAATTAAATATCAAGTTGCCAGGAAAAATCAGTGACATTTAAAAAAAAATATAAACTAATATTTAAATTTAAATCAAGACTTTTAGAGTAAATTAAAAATTTAATTAATTTTTTAAAGAACTATACATAGATGCAGAATAATAAGGGGTGAAATCATGAAAATGAAATACCGTCTTCTTAAATAAAGTAAGAATGAGCACCGTAATCATAGATCACAAATCCGGTTTTTTTTTTTAATTGAAAATATGACTTTTTATTTCCAATTAATTAATTTATTAATTTTTTTATTAAGGTAATAAAGTAAACCACCTTAAGTGCACCGTTAAAAATTTCTGGGAAAAAAATCATCAGCGATTTTCCAGATTTCAGTGAATCAAGAGTAAGCTTTGGGATAAAATACGAACAAATAAAAATCATTTGTGATTTAAAAATTAAGTAAGATGTATGAAATTCAAAATAAATTATTAACATTTGTAGCAGCTCAAGTGCACACAATATTATGTAATGGCACCAAATTTCGCATGTCGAGTTCAAAGCGAAAATTCACTTCTTCACTGTCGGAAAGCGTTAATGAGCAAAATATGTTGGCCTGTTTATGCACCTAGTAATTCAATTTTTTGCTAAACTGATTTTGAGGAAACCAGGTGCAAACAACTGAACTTTTACTGCGGAACGGATTAATATGCTTTCGAAAATATAGACAAAAAAATCAATTAATTTCTTGAAATAATATTTCAACTCAGGGTTTGCTAAAACAATGAATTAGTAAATTTTGATCTACAAATTAATCTAAAAATTTCGACTAATAAATTAGAAATTGAACTTTCACTAGAGGTCACCAGGTTTATATCTAATTTTTTTTCTTCTTTGGCTCTGGAGCATTCATGCAACGGGAAAAATAAGTAAAGTTTGTTTTTTATATATTTGCAAAAAGGTGAGGGCTTAAAGCAAAGCCATTTGCTTAAAGCATTAATTTAACCGTTCAAAATACTTAATATAAGAATATCAATAAAATTTTTTACGATTTGTAACCAAAGTTACATAAAGAAAAAATATAAATTAAGGGGAACGGCACTTTACGTGGTTCACTGTACATTAAATTGTTGAAAAATATTAGTGAATTAGGAATAAATTTGAATTGATAATTCTAACTTAAGCAAGTTCTTCATTCAAAATTTATTTTTAAGTTCTACATAGCTATATTTAAATTTTAATATCTAAATTTAACTTTTTTCTAGAATATTTTATCAACCTGACAAATAAGTTTGTCTTAATGTAATTTAGGGAAATATTTTTTTTTTATTGAAAGTACGTCACTTTATTGAAAAATAAACTTTGAATATAAATTTTTTTTTTTTGTTATATGATAGTTTTTTTTGCTGTCATTCTCATGTTGTTAAGTTGTTTTTCTGCTTTTTCTTCATTCATTATTTTTATATACATATAAAATTCATTTAATAATTTCTCTATAATTTTTGTAGGAGCAATGATGCCGTTTTGGTAATTTGGCCGCTTTATTGAGCAATAAATAAACGAGTTTTAAGTGATTTTTTAAAAACAAGATGTGGATTCCGAAAAAGCTGTTTTATGTTCGAAATAATTTACAAGGCGCAATATTTGTGAATAATTGTGTTATTAGTTGAAAACTATTATTATTTATTTACTAAAAACGTTTTTGGATAACCAAGTTGCTTTACATACTAAGTATATTAATCAATTTATCTAACATATTAAAATATTTTTGTTACTTAAAAATTTTTGATGAAAAAAATTTTGATGGCCGCACTTATTATACAAATAATCGTAATTTTTTATAGTTTTAAATTATTTTAATATTCCATATAAGCTAATAGACTATAATGTTCTGTTTTAATCTTTAATCACAGCGCAAATCTCCAGAAATAACATTTACCATTTGCACAGGGATTTAACATTTTTGTTTATTGTATTGAGAAAATTAAACAAGTTAAATATCTTAAGTTAGTATTTGTTTTAAATTCCATTCCGAATTTCAGTTCTCCTTTACTAGTTTTTGTTAAATTGCATAATAAAAGATATTAAATTTGTTATTCAACTTTGATGAAATTTATTCATATAACTTGTCAATAATATCTTTGTATTTTTCCATTACTCCACTTTTTTTCAATTTAAATGTTGGTCCTATTAAAATAGGATAAAATAAAAAATATTTGGTAAATAAAAATTTGTAAAACCTTTCTGGAAATTTTTTTTCTAATTTTTAAATACTAACCAAATTCACCCGTGGCTATTGAAAAATCATTTGGAAGTAAAGCAAATTTTTTTATTGTATGAACATTTGATATTGCATTTTTATTATAACGATCGATTCCATTTTGAATTGATTTTAGAACTATAGGACATGGTCCAGATTTTAAAATTTCTGATAATTTCGTATATTTTAAATTTAATGTTTTCATCCACTGTAACGATTCCTGTTCTAATTCATCTAATGGGCCACCATTTTCTGGATCCATTTTAGTCTGTTAAAAGTACAATATATTATAAGTTTAGAATTAATAAATTAAGTACCAGTCCATTCTATACCTTTATTGTTAATAAAATACTTAAATATTTTCTTTTATCACCGATTAAAAGAGCATTACTAATACCGGATAATTGTTTTTTAATAGATTGTTCAATAAAAACAAATGGAATATTTTCACCACCCGATGTTATTATAAGTTCTTTAACACGTCCAACAATATATAAATCATTATTATTATCAAGTCGACCTAAATCACCAGTTTTAAACCAATCGTCAACAAAAGATTGAGCAGTTTTTTCCGGATCATTTAGATATCCCATTAAAACAGAGCGACTTTTAAGTAATATCTATGAATGTGAAAGCAAAAATTTTGTTAAATTTTAAAATAAATCGTTTATAACCTACCTCTCCAATACCATTTTCATCTGGATTATAAATTTTAATTTCATTGCCACTCAAAGGATTACCGACAGTATCAAAATTCCTGATAGTTGAATCATTCAATGTGTTTGGCCCAGTTTCTGAAAGTCCATATGCATCATATATTAAAACATCAATGCTGCAAAAATAACGTTTTGTTTCTACATTCATTGGTGCTGATATTGTTACGAATGCACGACATCTATCAAAACCAAGGCCAGATTTAACTTTATTTATAATTTGCTGTCCAATTTTATAAGTTACAACATTACCACGTTTGCTAAGAAATACATAATTTTTAAATTGTGAAAAAAAGTTTAAATAATTGAAAATCTGGCATAACGGCAAAACAACGGTGTTATTTCAAAATCAAATAGTTTAAAACTCTAATAGTAACTTAAAGTAACTCAACAAGTAAGTTTAAAAAATTTTTTAAATGAATAAATAATTTTTAATATATTTTTAGAACAGCGCTAATTATTATTTAAAACTTACCGATTCATTCTAGCAACATGATAATTATACACAAATTTCTTGGCACTATTCAACATTAAATAACTTAAGTAATTTAAATTTGATTCGGCTTTAATCATTTTTTCATGGATTTTTTCCCATACTCTTGGTACACTCAAAAATCGTGTTGGACGTGCTTTAATTAAAGTTTTAACAAGAGTACTTTTTAAGGCATCACGATCAGCAAAATAAACACAAGCCGCCAAAAGTGGTGATAAATATAATTCGAAAATTTGGGCAGCCAAATGATTTAATGGTAAATATGAGACAAAAACTTCATTACCAACACTAATTGATTCAAATCTATTAAAAATTCCTTTAATACCAAATATAATATTATCATGTGATATCATAACACCTTTTGGTTTATCCGTTGTACCTGATGTAAAAATTAATGAGAAACATTCATTCGGTACTAATGCATTTAAACGTTTTTCTAATTCAATTTCAATATCATTGTCGATTTGAATTTGTTCAATATCACTCCATTTATAATAACCATCTTCAACACTTACAAATGAATCAAATGGTCCATTAATTTGTATTATAGTTTTTAATTTTGGTAAATTTTCTTTAATTACACGAATTTTATCCATTTGTATTTTATTATCAACAACACAAATTGTTGAACCAGCTACTTCTAAAATATGCTGTACAGCATCAGGACTACTTGTTGTATAAATTCCAGTTATAATACCACCAGCATAAACTGCACCAATTGCTGAATAAAACCATTCTGGACAATTAAATGCTAATATACCAATCGAATCACGTTCTTTAAATCCCAATTTAATAAAAATTTTCGCAATTTTATCAATCTTTTTCTCATATTCATAGTAATTTATTGTTTGCCATTTTTTTTCCGCATTTTCAAATGCTAATGCTGGACGTTGGCTAAATGTTTGTGCCGTGTTTTTTAACAATTCAGGAAATGTTATTGGTTTTATATTATTTCCATTATTTTCAAATTGAATTTTTACACGATGATCTATTTTGGTTGTACGCCGTGGTAGTCCGTCATTAGTATATTCAAATTCATCCTCGAAATCTCGAAACATTATAATATATATTAAACATACAAAATTACAAGTTTTTTAAAATTTTTATTCTGTTTTTGTTCTATCTTAACGATTGCTCCAGTTTATTATCTAATTGGACGTATAAATTAAGGAATATTTCTTCGAAATAATTAAAGTTATCCACTTAACCGAATTCACTTTTCAAATAATCTAATTTTGATTTTGTAGATCACTTTATAAATACACCCAAACCTCGCTTTACGGCCTAGATACGTTCCGCAAAACTTGGCCGTAAAGCGAAAAGCCGTATAACGAATCAATTATTCTAATACGTATTCATACAAATTCAATGGGATCGGTTCCAAATTTGATAAATATATAATATGGTTTATCATTCAAAATGCATTTTATTTTTTTATTTTGTTTAAATTATAAACATATTTAACAAGAACATAAATTTTACATAAAATAAAAAACTCCAAAAACATTACATAATTTTTAAATAAAAATGAAACAACTAAAACCTACAGATCACTGTCATCATCATTTTGCGCTGGTGGTTTGAAAAAATTGTCTAAAGTTGTTTGTCTTGCCTTCTTGTCTATTTCTTCCTTTAGTGATTTATAACAGCTAATGGCTGAGTTAATTCCTCGAGACACATTAGCGCTACGTTCGACGTCAGGATCGTTTTCAAGGAGGATGTTTATTCCTTGTTCAAAATAAGAAAAAGCGCTCGAAATGATTTTTGATGTTAGCTGTTTGGATACAACAGGCTCTGTACCTTCATCAATTGCTGGTTCTGCTTGCAACTGAATGAGTTCCTCATATGAAAGGGGTTCTCTATCAGCTGCAAGTAGATCCAGCACATCAGATTCGTTTAAATCTTCAAAACCGAGATCATGTGCTAAATCCAAAATATTTTGTCTAACTTCAGGAAGGAAATTAACTTCTGCATCGGTAGTTTTTATACATTCTGGCCATATTTTTTTCCAAACATGGTTCATTGTTGTCGATTTTAATTCCTTCCAGGATTCACTAATGTTCTCAACAGCATCCTTGATATTATAGTTTTTCCAAAACGTTTTAATTGATGATGTACCATCGGTTTCACTTATAAGTTGTTGGAATGTTCGGCGTAGGTAATATGCTTTAAACGTGGCTATTGCACCCTGATCCATTGGTTGGATCAGAGCTGTTGTATTTTTCGGAAGGTACTCAATCATCACATCTTCTGATAGTTCGGATAAATTAGTAGGATGCCCTGGTGCATTATCTAAAATTAGCAAAGCCTTGTTGCTTAAGTTATTGTCTAGTAAATATTTTTTGACTTCTGTACAAAAGTGATTTTTGAACCAATCCTCAAAAATAGCTTTAGTCATCCAAGCTTTTTTGTTGGATCTCCATATGACGGGTAATTGATTTTTATTTAATCTTTTAAAAGGCCTTGGATTTTCGGACAAATATATCAAAAGTGGTTTTAGCTTAAAATCACCCGTAGCATTTGCACCAAGTAGCAACGTTAAACGTTCTTTGGACACCTTATAACCAGGCGCAGATTTTTCGGTTTTTGAAACGTATGTGCGAACAGGCATTCGCTTCCAATAAAGCCCTGTTTCGTCTACGTTAAACACTTGCTCAGGTTTATAACCACCTCTTTCAATAATTCCTTTTAAAATGTTGGGATATTCGTTAGATGCGGCCTCATCGGCGCTAGCTGCTTCACCTTTCAATTTCAAATTATGCAAATTAAATCTATTTTTAAATTTTTCAAACCATCCTCGACTTGCTTGGAATGTGACATCTTCAGATTCATTGGTATCTCCTTTCTTCAAATTTTCGAAAATACCCAAAGCTTTTTCCTGGATAGTCATTTTACTCATTGGAATTTTCCGTTTGTTATTGTCCTCAATCCATATAATCAATAGTTTTTCCATTTTTTCCATAATCCAATTTCTATGGCGTGTTAATCTTGAGATATTTAAAGGTGCAGCAGATTCCAAATATGCTTTAATATCCTCCTTTTTATCGCGAATAGTTTGAATGCTCGATTTCGCAAGTCCCATTGCCTTGGATATTTCAACAATTTTCTCTCCAGCTTCTATACGACGTAATACTTCTTTTTTAGTTTCTAGCGTGATTGCTTTGCGGCATCTTTTTTTATCAGTCTCCGAAGTCGGTAATCGTTTCGTTGCCATTTTGTCTAAAAAATAATGAAATTCTAAATTAAAAATACATATCAAAATTTTTTTAAAATTGTAAAAAATGAGTACTTACCGTCCAAAAATGTTTCTAATTGTTTACAACTTTTTCAGTTAATTTGTAACAATCACTAATAAATATGTACATAAAACACTCACAGACAAATCTAAACCAGTCGCATTATAAGTACACACTGAATAACACTCGTAAACAAGGGAAACACAAAGAAATAAAGATTGCGCTTGCGCAATATATCGACATAGAAAAAAAAAGCCGTTATAGCAAAACATTTTAGGCCGTATATTGAAAACGTACCTTAATTAAAGAGGGCCGTTATAGCGAAAGGCCGTATAAAGAGCGGCCGTATAGCGAGGCTTCAGTGTACTTTAAGACCTCCAGTTTAGAGTTATTTAATAATAGTAGATAAATATTTACATAAATAGCTTTTTTCAATAATTTAACACTTTAAAAATTAGAGTTTAAGGCACAAAACTAAACAGTTTCATAAATAATATTCCTATCTCAAGTATACATATGTTGTTCTTGTTTCAATATGAATTTAAAATTTATAGTTAAGAAATTTGAATACGAATTTGCCATTTTAATCACGAATCTTTATACATAATTAAATAGCATGAATAAAGGTACAGCAGATCAAGAGCGATCATATATTTTACGATATATAATAAAATATTAAATCAGTTCGTGAAATTTTTTGTTCTCGATTAATCACCATTTCTGAATAATAAAATAGCTTTACAAAATTGAATTGAATGCACTACTATGACTTAAGGTTTTCTTTTGAATTTCTAGAGCGAAGTATGCCCATATAACAGTTTTCATGAACTAGAGCAATTTCTATTTCCTTGCAGATCACAATTGAGTAAAGTTACCCCAACCTTCTAAACAAATTAAACTATGTATTTCGTTTCAAACATAGTATAAAAACTGCTTATATAATGGATAAACTGATTAAATTGGAAACAAAATTCGGCCTTTACATTTATAGGAGACATATTCAAAATTTGGCTCGATATTTCGTAAGGATCCTTAAATATGAAATAGTGAAGAACCTGAACGTGAAATCACTATACTATGCCACATTTTTTTTTTTAATTAAAATTAAAAATCAATCTAAAATTTGTCAAAGAAAAAAATAAAAATACATACATATATATATTTTTTTCTATTTTTAGTTATGAATTTAATTAATTGCAAATTTCGTGTTTAAAGCTTAATTAAAATCAACGAGATGATATGTTTAGTTTCGTGTATTTATTATGCCATTGTATATGTATGGGACGTGCAAGAAAGAGAATACAGGGTAAAATTAAAATATTTGGTGTGAAGGCATTAACAAATTTAGCCCTGACAGATGGAAAACGGAAAGTAGACGGTAGATTAAAAAAACATCTTTACAAATATTACTTCTTGGCCATTCAAAAAAAATCATTAGAAATGCAAAAAATCCCCGACCAAATGTTTTCTCTCCAAATACAAGACGTTGGTAAATATGAATCGGTTTACTTGTACAAAACTTTTATTACAAATCCTCTTCCATTTTCAATTTTATAGAAACAAATATTATTGGTAAAACAAAAATTATTTCTTGTTGACAAATCAACACGCTAGCAGAATTGTAAATGATGCTTTCAAAATTATAATATAAACATTGTTCTGGTATTGATCTAATTTCAAAATTATGTTTACTCTTGAAACATGACTATAATCAGAATTTTTTACTTCGAATTTAAAAAGAATAAATTTCTTACAAATTATAAATAAAAATAAATAAAAACTAATTAAAATGTTTTACCTTATTGTGCATAAGACACAAAGAATTTAATATTCTTACACGTGTTGTTCTTTATTATTTATTTTTTAATAATAAAAAAAATAGTATTAATGCTATTCTTTTTCATCTTTTATTGAAAAATACAAAATATTATACCATAATTATTTTATAAGTTATATATAATATATGTATAATATATCTAAGAAGAAATTACATAAATATTTTAAAAATTTATTCATAAAATTTTTCAATAATATCCTTGTATTTCTCATATACAACATTCCTTTTCAATTTTAACGTGGGTCCTATTTAAGGGAAGATACAAATTGTTTAAAAGTTTTTTGTCTTTTTTATTAATTTAAATTATAATCATACTGACCTAATTCATCTGTTGCCATTGAAAAATCATGTGGTAATAAAGCGAATTTTTTTATTGTATGTACATTTGATATTGCACTTTTATTATAACGATCGATACCATCTTGAATTGATTTCAAAACTTCTGGGCATGGTCCAGCATTTAAAATCTCTGATAATTTCGTATATTTTAAATTTAATGTTTCCATCCAATGTAATGATTCATATTGTAATTTATCTAATGGATAACCAGTTTCCGGATCCATTTCAGTCTTTAAAATAAAATATTTATATAAGATTACATTGTAAATTAATTTAACATTTTTAATTATAAATAAAGATACAAATATTATTTACCTTAATTGTTAATAAAATTGTTAAATATTTTCTTTTATCACCGATTATAAATGCATTACTAATACCAGGCAATTCATTTTTAATTGATTCTTCAATAAAAACAAATGGAATATTTTCACCACCCGATGTTATTATAAGTTCTTTAACACGTCCAACAATATATAAATCATTATTATTATCAAGTCGACCTAAATCACCAGTTTTATACCAATCGTCATCAAAAGTTTCAGCAGTTTTTTCCGGTTCATTTAAATATCCCATAAAAACGGAACGACTTTTAACAAAGATCTGAAAATAAAAGAGAAAAATGGAAAATTTTTTTTATTGTATTCTTTTTTTTTTATTAAATTTTATAATATCGTCACAAATGCATATGTGGAAGAGGTTATCATGAATAACATTAAGAATGACTTTTTAAATTTTTTTCCAATATTTTTTTTTTTTTTTTTGGTTTGTTACAACATTTATGATTCAATTACCTCTCCGATTCCTTTTCCGTCTGGATTATAAATTTTAATTTCATTGCCATCTAAAGCATTTCCAATTGTTTCGAAATTTCTCATTGTTGAGTCATTTAATGCAATTGGTCCTGTTTCAGAAAGTCCATAGGCTTCATATAATAAAATATCAATACTACAGAAATAATGTTTTGTTTCTAAATTTGTTGGTGCAGCACCAGTTATAAATGTACGACATTTATCGAATCCAAGACCAGATTTAACTTTATTTGTTATTTGTTGACCAATTTTATATGTTATATTATTACCATGACATCTGTAATTAAAAGTTTAATGTTAATTGGTCGCAACTAATTGTTTGATTTGAAATAAAGTTTGATTAACATGATGATATTTTAAAAATAGTACATAATATTTAACACATGTGTTGATTTTTCTTTTTAGGTGAAATAACAAATTCAAGATTTTAAAAGAACCTAAGCGCAAAAAATTCCTCATACTAATATTGTTCACAAGAAAGCAGTGTGCTGCTAGGTATTATATGCATTTTTTGGGCTTTAGATAAGATATTTTTATTTACTAGTTTACATTATTTGTCTAGTTCACTTGATTGAATCTTATAGATATTTATATAAATAATTTATTCAAAGTTCAAAAGGTAAAACTCTACAATAAATAAGTAAATAAAATAGACCATCATCACCTAGAGCATATATTTTTTATAATTCTCTAAATTAATTATTTTCTAAAATTAAATTTATGTACTTAACTTGCTCGAAATTTTTAATTTTAAAAATATGTAACTAATTAAAATTTAAACAAATTCATAAAAGTTAAACAAATTTCACCAAATTTAAAACAGAAATCATTCTCTTCATAATATCATTCAAATAATTTTTTAGAGTTTATTCGTTATAGGTGCTAATATACATTATAAAAGTAATTTACCGACCTGATTACCTATTACTGTATTTTAACCATTTATAAAAACAAATGCGAACTTACCCATTAATTTTTGCAACATGATAATTATAAACAAATTTTTTGGCAATATTTAACAAAAATGAATTTAAGACATTTGAATTTGCTTCAACTTGAATCATTTTTTCATGTATTTTCTCCCATACTCTTGGTACACCCAAAAATCTTGTTGGACGTGCTTTAATTAATGTTTTAACAAGAGTACCTTTTAATGCATCACGATCAGCAAAATAAACACAACCGGCTAATATCATTGGTAAAAATAAATCTAAAACTTGTGCAGCAATATGATTTAATGGTAAATATGAAACAAAAATTTCATCACCCATTTCAACAACTTCAAATCTTTTAAAAACTGATTTTACACTAAATACAATATTATCATGTGATAACATAACACCTTTTGGTTTACCAGTGGTACCGGAAGTAAAAATTAATGAACAACATTCATTCGGTACTAATGCATTTAAACGTTTTTCTAATTCAATTTCAATATCATTATCAATTTGAATTTGTTCAATATCACTCCATTTATAATAACCATCTTCAACACTTACAAATGAATCAAATGGTCCATTAATTTGTATTATAGTTTTTAATTTTGGTAAATTTTCTTTAATTACACGAATTTTATCCATTTGTTTTTTATTATCAACAATACAAATTGTTGAACCAGCTGCCTCTAAAACATGTTGTACAGCATCAGGACTATTTGTTGTATAAACTCCAGCTATAACACCACCAGCTGAAATGGCACCCATTGCTGAATAAAACCATTCCGGACAATTAAATGCTAATATACCAATTGAATCACGTTCTTTAAAACCTAATTTAATAAAAATTTTAGCAATTTTTCGAATTTTCTCATGATATTCGTAATAATTTATTGTTTGCCAATTCTTTTCATTATCTTGATATTTTAACGCTGGATAATAACCATAATCTTTTACAACATTATCTAAAATTTTAATAATAGTTATTGGTTTTGTTGAATTAATTCCATTTTCAGTTAAAGGTATATGTACTTTTCCATCTATTTTAGTTGTTCGTTTTGGGAATCGTTCAGTGTATTCTTGTTGATCGATTTCAGTTTCCATCATCATGATTATTAGTAAAATTTAATATTTGTACGTAAATTTCGTTTGTCTTTATTTTTTTTTCCGATTAAGGGCTTTCTTTTGTTGTAATATAGAAGTGTTGTTCACTTATTAAAGTTTAAATCGTAAATGAAATTGAATTTAAAACAAAATATTTGCTTTAATTTATTTACGTATATACATACATACACATTTGTATATTTATTTTATTTCCTTCCATAATATTATTGATAACACGCATCATTCATTTTAATAAGTCAAGAGACTCTTTAGGCTCATTGATAAAATAAAAAAAAATAGCGTTTTTAAATACAGAATAATATCGGGCCCATATAATAAAATAATCAAATTGATTTTATATTTTAAAAATACACCAAAACGAAAATCAAAGCGTAATTTTATTTTTGTTTTTATTTTGTACCCTTCCTTATCTTTACAAAACCAAAACAATTCTCTAAAGTTGAATTAGCTATTGGACAGAAATATATTACAATTCAGATTTAAGACTGATAATTTTTTCTTTTCACTATTATGTTTATTACCCAAAATAGAAAATAGAAATTATGCCTTAAAATTTCGAAATAAAATATTAATAAAAAAAAAATATTAAATTTTGAATATTAACCCGTTTTTTAATTATTTTTTAGATAAAGAAGAGGAAATTCTGATAGATTAACAAGCACTAACGATACTAAATTAGAAATTAATGTAAAAAATAGTGGAGAAGTTATTAAAGAACTAGGAAAATTCAATTCTATTTTATAGTAGTGGCGAAAATTAACTATTAAAAACAAGCAATAAAAATTGAAATAAGCGAAATTAAATAATTGTTACAAGGATCTTAAAGCAACATGATTCCAGATTACGCTTGAATGTTTACGCTTACCAAGAAGAAGAAGAGTGTTCGAATCATACTGAATTAATTAGAATTTAATTGAGTAGTACTCAATATTTTCAAGGAAATTTTGTAAAACGAGAGTTTATCACACTAGTAACAGAAGAAGAAATTATTTTACTAATGTCTTCTAATACAAAACTATTAATCTTGCAATCAATTATAAATTTAGATTGGTGATATACAAAAATCGGTAAGATATTATTATAAAATCAATTATAGTGTTTTCAAAATTAAAACACAATATAATAAGTACACGAATAAGCATTAAATAACTCATTTAAGAGGTAGGGGAATATAAAAGTTTATGTTAGTTTTGAATTAAGCTTACTAACCAACCATATATTTAGGTTTAACAATTATTTTTTTAAAAATTTCATTTTAAAATTTCATAATTCTTTGAATACTAAGCTAAATATGAAATTTTACTATAATAGAGATATTATTAATAACTTGCAATTTATTCATTCATAAAAATCTCACTTCAAAAACGATAATGATTTTCCTTTAAAAATATTTTAAAAATTCTTCCATATTATAAATTACAATAAGATTGTAAATATATTTCAATGAATGTTATTATATTAAAAACTAAATTGCAATATTCCTATAGCACGTTTTAAAAAATAATATGAATAAGTGTGAAGAAATTATTAATAATGAAATGTTTGTGTAAGACCGAGTTTTTTTTTTTTAAGCTATTGTGGGCTAATTGATATTAAATTGAATCTTATATGTTATAAAATTATATTCATAGTACGATTTCCAATTATACTTATAATTTAAATCTGAAAATATTAACAATATAATTTCGTATTTAATATAAATATAAACAACAACAAAAAATACAGCATATCACAAAAAAAAAATTAAAAATTTCACAAACAGGTCTATTTTATTTACGTTATTGTTTTTTTTTTTATCTTGTTCTAAACAGTTTATTTTTATATTAAACAAAAATTTTAACAAAATGTAGATGTATACCGATAATGTTTTCTCGTTTGGGAAATTATTTCGGGAACAAGTTATAATTCTTTGAATTTCTTGACATGGTATTCCGTTCTTCGAACAAGAATTTCATTTCGAGGCAAAATTTTGAAAATATACAGTTTGTTATTAGAGTTAACTATTACCATTTTAGGATACTTTAAGGCGAGTTGCCCAATAATGCATAAGATTGCATAATTCATATTTTTTTTTTAAAATACATACAGAGAATTTTTTATGGAAATTAATGATTAATATTTTACTGCGGAAATTAAATATAAGCTATTTTGCTAATTGTTTATTTTTAATAGCATTTACATACAAGTTATTAAACTGCGTTCACTCTATTTTAAAAAAAAATAAAATTTATTTCACACAATTACAATTATTACTTAAAAAATAGATTCTAAATTTAATTGAGATTCTAATTAACAGTTTAATTTATTTCATGCTACTGTTATTAACACCAAATTAAGACTTATCCGATATCTTAAAATCTAACGTTATTTATACTACTTAAAATTAACTTCATTTCCGGCCGCGTACAAAATTGTAGACGTTACATCAGCACATTCGATGGGAACGATAATTTCATAATTTCTTCATGGTTAAATATGTTCGATTGCAGACACTGTGCCAGCAATTTACATGTGATTAGTATTGTACTAAAGATGTAATTCGATGCCTCTTGAATATGTTACTTGACACCGTGATAACTTACACGACATATTAAAACCATTACAGCTAGCCCTATTAGTGGATAAAATACACTTTTTAATAAATTATTAATATTAATTGTAAAAAATAAATTTTGTTTTGAAGTTTTGGTACGCTAAATTTGCTAATAGAATTAAAGAAATTAACAGAATTTTATGAGGTTACACAAATTTAGAAGTTTCACTTCGATTCTATTGAAGAGTACATAATATTAATTTTAATTAAATTATATATTTTAAATAATAAAATCACACATAAAAGCATCCCTCCAGTAGCCTGGTTTTATAAAATTTTACAAGTTTAGAATGTCAAGATAAAAAATAAACCCACAGTATGCTTGTTTTCTCAATTATTATTATAAATAAATAAAAAAAATTTAAAATTGCTTTCGCTACCTGCCGGTTGTCATTCTTTCCCGGTTGAAATCAATGAATAATAAATTTAATTTTTATATGGTAATTTTTGAATATTTTGGAAATATTAAAAATACTCACAAATAAAATGACGCATTAAAGAAAAATAAAAAAAAAAAAACGATAAAATAATATAATAAAATAAAACGAACTAATTATATGTGATTATATTTTATATTTACTTGTGTTGAGGTAATCATAAAGTGTATATAACAATGTAATGAGGAATAGATGCAGGATTGAACAGAAAAACTAAAATTAAACATATTTTTGCAGCCATTAGAATTATCTTTTAAAACTATATTTTTAGAATTAAGTGCTTTCAATATTTCAGAGCTATGATTTTTAAGATTAACTTTTTTAAATATTTATACTTTTTATCAAATATCATCCGAAAACTAGTTAAGAATTTGTAAACTAAAGCACATCCAAAATATAACAGATTCCGATGCAATTCAACACGCTTATGTGTACATCCTTTTAGGCAGAATTTTTGTTGTGCATGCATCTGTATTGTACGTATCCATCTCCTATTTGATATGAAAAACTACATTTGAAAAAAAATGCAATACGTCTAAAGAGGTTTTTCTCATATGTGTGTTGCAAATTATCGTGTTCGACTGTATACTTGAAATTTAAGCTGGAGCTCATTTAAAATTTTTAATCTCTGTAATAGTGGAAAGATACACATTTACTTACTTGCAATTCTTACTATTGGGTAATTTTGATTACTTAATTTTCATAACGTTGCTCAATATTTTAAAGTTTCACTGTATTGTACAAGTTTACACAATTCAGCAACTACAATTCATAAAATGAAATGTATGTATTAATAACGCTCAATTACTCCAAATTTCAAATCAAAGTATTTAATTAGATTTGACTTATCTGTCGTTTCAATTTTAATTGCTCGATAAGTTTTTAATTGCATTTAATTGTTAATGAACTTAATTTGCACATAGTTTGTAGTTTGATATTAAAAATCAAATTTTTAATTAATTAACTTAAAATATACTATGAATTTAATTAGGGCAACAATCAATATTAATTTGCATTACACATTATATTGAAAAGGAATAAAAAAAATATTAATCTAAATAATTATTAAGAAAAAATTCCATTCAAAAATTGATTTTAACCATGACTTTACATATTAAATATGTAAACGTCATAAATTTTTTAATAAAACTATACTGGAACAGATTACTACATTGTAAAACAACAATGTTAGTAAACATAAAAATATTCTTAAATTTCGTTATCAGAAAAACTATTAGTAGAGCTCCTATTACTTTTTCAATATTAATGAATTTGTCTTATCAATTTAAAGATGACAATTATAATAAAATCTAAACTGAAGAGGAAAAAGCAAAATATTTACAATATATTTGGAATTATTTTTATAAATACTAATAAGTGCAGAAGTACTTAAAATATATAAAAATCTAAAATTTTAGATGCAAAGTATTTGGGCAATAATTATAAAAAATATTATTAGATCTTTTAGGAAACAATTTAGGTAATGACTCTGTATTACTTATTAAGTTTAGTTTAAGAATTGAGAATACACAAATTCCAAGTATAGAACTGATTAAAACGAAACGCACACGGAAACTGTTTTTCCATTTCCATTTTAATGTAATTATCAAACGCATATGGAACATTTATGAATTAAAAACATTAAAATGTTAATGTTTTCTTTATTGCATTTATAATTGTTTAAGATATTTATTCAAGGAGAAGGTGTTAAAAAAAATTTCTACCAAAAATTAGATCTTGTATTTACATTATTAATAATAAAAATAAAAAATTTTATAATTTTAGATACAATAAGTTTATGAGGCAGCGCATCCACTTTGGAAGTGAACATCTTATACATCCTGCCAATCAAATCATGAAGCTACAAATTAAAAATATTATCCTACATGCTAATTGATTAATTTATTCCTTATACATTTCATCAATTAATTTAGAATATTTTTCAATTACAAAATTTCTTTTAACTTTTAAAGTTGGTCCCAATTCACCAGTTATCATTGTAAAATCATTTGGTAATATACGAAATTTTTGTACTTTTTGTGCATTTGATATTGCATTCATATTAGCACGTTTAATACCATCAGCAATTGCATATTGTACTTTAGAACATGGACCAGCTTTTAATATTTCTGATAATGTTTTATATTTTAAATTTAATGATTTCATCCATAAAAGTGCATCATCCTGAAGTGTATCCAATGGTGCACCAGTATTTGAATCAAAATTTGTTTTAATTGTTATCAAAACTGTTAAATATTTTTTACGATCTCCAACTAAAAATACATTACTAATACCTGGTAATTGTGTTTTAATTAGATTTTCAACATGATGTGGTGGTATATTTTCACCACCAGATGTTATTACAATTTCTTTAATACGTCCAGTTATATATAAATATCCTTGTTCATCTAAACAACCATAATCACCAGTATGTAACCAACCATCTGAATCAAGAGTTTCATTAGTTTTTTCTGGTTCATTAACATAACCCATAAAATTACTGCGGGTTTTAATGCAAATCTAAAAATTTATAAAAATAAAATTTATTTTTTTTTTAAATAATCTTAAAATTGTGCTGATTTATATAATTAAATTAATTAAAATATAATTTCAATAAATTTTTTAATACTTACTTCACCATAACCTTCAGCATTTTGTTTATATATTTTGAATTTAATACCATTAACTGGTCGACCAATAGCATCAAAATCTTTAATTTGTTCATCACCAAATGCAACACCTCCCGATGTCTCTGACAAACCATATATTTCATATAATCGTATATCATAATCCAAAAAAAATTTCTTTGTTTCATGTGATATTGGTGCTCCTCCAGTTAAAAAATATTTACATTTTTCTAAACCGAAAACAGTTTTAATGCTTGTTAAAATATTTTGAGCAAACCAATAACGTCCACCATATTTTGGTATAGTACTGTTTGAAATATAAAAATATCAATTAAAATTTATAAATTTTAAAATATATAAAAATTTTATTACCCATTCATTACAGATAAATGATAATCAGATGCATAATATTTGGCCCAATTTAAGATTATTTGAAGAAAACTATAATTTTGTTTTTCTACAAGAGATATTTTATCTTGCATTTTTTCAAAAACTCTTGGTACACCAAAAAATCGGGTTGGTTTTGCTTTTGCAATTGTATTCATTAAAGATCCTTTCATTGCATCTTTATCAGCAATATGAATTGAGCCACCTATGAATAAAATTAAAAATAATATTTAAAAAATTAGCATAAAAATATTTAGTTTTGGTTCTCCTGAAATTATGCAACACTTTTTTAATAAAGATTTTGTTTTTGATTTCAAAACATTTCTTGTTTTTATAAAATTTTGAGTGATTTGCTGTCTGTTAATACAAATTGTATGATAGTTATGCTTAAGTTGTTAACAGGTTGGTCGAAAAATGCTGTATTTTTCAGATCTAATGATTTACAGAAGCGTATATTGGTGATTAGTAATATGTATAACATTTCAATCAAATTGCTTTAAAAGACATGCTTTCCATTATTGTTATTAGCACAAAAATTAAAGTGTTGGATGTTTACCAAGATTAAATTATTGCTTAAACTGAGATTGGTTATTGGAAAATAAATATTTCAATAAAAGCAAAAAATTTCCAACAATGCTGGTGAAATTTGTTAATTAATAATTGGAAATTAATGGTCAGAATTTATAAATTCTAAAAGGCAGAGATTTTAATGTTATTCAAAATCGTAAAATTGAATATGTGAGGGTAGCATTGTAAAAAAATTTTAACCTTAAGGCAAAAATTTAGCTTGTATGCGCTTTCAATTAAGCTTAAAATTAGAATTTAATTTCTACTTACCTATTAGAAATGTTATGAAAATATCAAATATTTGACCAACAATATGATTTAATGGTAAATATGATACAATTCTTTCATCACCATAACAAATATTTGGAAAATTTTTTATAGCATTTTTAGCATTTGTTATTAAATTATCATGACTTAACATAACAGCTTTTGGATAACCAACTGTACCAGATGTATAAATTAATAGACAACATTGATTTGGTGCAATTGAATTTAAACGTTGTAAAAGTTTTTCATTTAAAATATTTTCTTCATTTGCAAAATTATTCGTTTGATAAATATTTTCATTAGAGTTGGACAATTCATTTTCATTATTTAAAATTTCTTTATTATTAATTTGCCATTTTAATATATTATTCATATATTTTGTATTACTCGTATTATTACTAGTATTTTTATTATTATTTATAAAAATATCATTCCATTTTAAAAATTTTAAATTATTAAAATTTTTATTTTCAGATTCATTACATGATATTTCTGTTATTGCAGCACTATTAAATAAATCATTATCATATGGACCATATATTTGTATTGCATATTTTAAATATGGTAAATTATCTTTTATTTTAATAATTTTTTCCATTTGTAGATTATCTTCAACTATAATTAATTTTGCTGAACATAAATTTAATGCATGATGTACAGCATCTGATGAATTTGTAATATATATACCAGCGATAATTGCACCAATCATAAAACCACTCATTTCAGCATAAAACCATTCTGGACAATTTGATGCTAATATACCAATACAATCATTTGCTTCAATATTAAGTTTAATTAATTGTTTAGCACAATATATTACTTTATTATAATAATCATTATATGTAATTGTATTCCATAAATTATTATTAGTCTCTTTATAAATGATAGCTGGTTGCATTGAATATTTTTCAATTGTTAAACTAAATAATTCTGGTATTGTTATTGGTGGTTCATCAATACCAGAAATTGGATATTTATTTGAACCACTTATATATCTAATATTAACTGGTTCTGATATATTACTTGTTTTATAAGATTTAGCTAATTTTAATGGTCCAGTTTTTAAATTATTACGTAAATCCATTTTTTTTTTATAATTATAATAATGATAAACAATATATTTTACAGATTTAGTATAGTACACGATCTTAATTTTCAAATTCTTAATTAATAAAAGACTTCAATTAATAAAATTATAATTTTCTTGAAGATACTTTCACGATTAAAACTGGATTTAAACTGAAAACGGTTTTGTTTTTCTTTTAATATTCTTAAAAAAAAAAAATATTAATTAAATATTAAATTTTGAAAACAGGGCGATTTTTTTTTTTGTTTATCATATTTTTATAATAATGCAGAATAAATAAATCAATCATTTCTGTCCAATTTTGATAATGAAAATAATTTTCCATTTTCAAACGAAGCTAGTATTAACAAATACATATAAAATGATTATACTATAGATTGTACGTGTACTAAGCCCAGTAATTACATATTATTTGAGTTGTTAAAGAAAGTGAAAGATTTTTTGTATATACATTTTTACAAACTAACTCAACTTATCAAGAATGTTTGTAAATTCTCACTTATATTCGCTTCTTAATACATTATTTTCTTATTTTTCTGATTTTAAATGGACAGTGACCTTTCATGGTCATCTATATTTACTTTGTTAAATTTAAACTAATGAAATCAAAATGATTAATAGACTCAAAAAAATAATAAAATAAAGTCCAAATAATTTGGGACGTTTTATCGCTATTATCACTACATACTAGACTATTGACCGTTATTAAAAATTAGAATATTATATTTAATTATTCGCGGTAATATTTTAATATGATAAGAGCGGTAATTTTCAAATTCATCCGGTTTTAATTTTAATTGACTACTAGTAAACGCTCTACCATTGATATTATTAAAATGTAAAATTTATGAATTTTTACTGTTTAGTTAGTTACTGATTAGAAACAAAACAAAATTTAATAAAATTAGTAATTTAAGCTAATTAATAATTTAAGCTTTAAGAACAAACACGTTCTTTGAGTTACAAGAATTTTACACGTGTATAACCATTGTATATATTTATATTTTAAAAATTATAATAAAATTTAAATTAAATTTTTAAGATTTTAAAATTTAGAATTTGTAATCATTTAGAAAATTTATGTAAAAGTTCGGGTTCTACTATATAATTATAATATAGTAGTTCTACTATATAATTATAATATAGTAGTTCTACTATATAATTATAATATAGTAGTTCTACTATATAATTATAATATAGTCGATTTTCATGAAACGAATTTCGTATTCGGAAAAATTGTAAGTAGCACCAATCAATTTGTATGGTACTACTTTTCCATTTCTGCTTATATGAAAATCGTTTCACGTAAATCGAATAACATAAGTAAGGCACCTGGTTACAATTTAATTTAGATTTAGATAATTAAAATTTAGATTTAAGATATTTAAAACAAAATTAAATATTGTGTTGTGATTTTTTAATTTATGTTTAGATTTTATATAAAAAATTTCTTATGATTTTAATTTTATTTCACCTGAATTTTCAACGTCTTAGCATTTCGTAAAGAAAAATGAATTAAATGAATAATATAATATTTCTAATAAAATTATCAATATATTTCTAAAAATTTATAATTAATTAAAATTTAAAATTATGTTTACATCATAAGATTTATTTACACTTTGTATAATGTTCAATTAATTTTATATGAATCTACTTTAATTTTTTTAAATATTTATAATTGATAATATAAGAGTTAATTCTTTAAGAGTAGTTCTACTTTATTTTGGAATACATAATTTGTAAATCATTTTATAACAAAATTTTTCGGTGTTATATAATAATTTATAATTATTTATTACATTGTCTAGACTCTAGACTTTGTTTTTTGTGGTTCCCAGATTTGAGATAATACAGATGTGTTATCAGTATTAGACTAGAGGTCTTAAAATATTAACAAGGAATAACTATTATCAAAAGTAGAATACGGTAGAGCCGGGACATTCTTCTGAACCGACATTTTTTTGTCTACTTACGTCTGTGCTACATTGTTCTACTAACATATTATATTACATTAGTTTACTCAGGAGATACTTTAATAAACCATTATATAGTAAAATTTTTAGGGGGATTCATTATCGCTTGTAGAAACCAAAATTGAAAAATGTTTTCACGTAACAAGTTTTACTTTATGTATTATGAAAAATTTCAGTTATATAAGACAAAATTATATGAAAATGCAATGAGGAAATAATTGTTGTTTTGGTTTGGTTGTTATTCATGTTCCACCGTAGATAGAGTAAAAAACTCATTTGTAAATTAAATGTTTGTAAACATTTAAATAAAAACAATCCTTAACTTATTTATGTCGTAACAAAAAATTATTTTTTATTACAAAAATCATAAATTAACACAACAATATCATTAGATCATTATAATATTAAAAATTGAATTTATTTTCGTGAATTATTTGCATTATATGCACAATTCGGAATACAAGGCTCCGATTGACAAACATTACCATTATGTGTTGATTGTTGATTTTGTACTGGAGGTGATTGTTCTTGTTGTTGTACATTTGGATGCTGTGGTAATTCTTCATAATCATTTTTTTTTGCCTTAAAAATAATAATAATTTTAATTTAATATTTAATTCTAATAGAGTTAAAATTTTTAATTTGAATTCAAACCATTTTTTCTTGTTTTAAAGCTGCTTTTTTTCTTTCTGATTTCTCTAAAATTTTTCTCATTATACGTATTGCCGTAAATATAACAAAAACAAATAATATTAACCATATTATAACACTTTTTTGATCGAAACGATCTAAACGAAATTTATAAACAATTGTCCTTTGAACTGGTACATTATTATTCTATACATATATTAAAATTAAATTAAAATTTAATAGTAAAAATAAAAAAAAAAATAATTTACTTACAGATCCAAGATAATTATCAATAATTTGTATTTTATTAACAACAACAAGACTTTTCCATAATTTTCCATTAAAGCATTCAATACCAGGCATATCTAATTTTAAACTACCACCAGCATCAATACTATAATTAGCACCAAAATATACTGTAGCCGGTGCACGAATATATTCATTTAATAACCATTCACAATTCCATGGATTCGATTCCAAATTAACATAATTTATATTATATAATACTGACATATTTAATGTTTTATATTCATTACCACTTAAATCTAAATATTCTAAATTTGATTGTATATTAGTAAGAAAATTATCTTGATAAAAATTATTTAATGATAAATCTAAAATTTTTAAATTTTTCAAATTATTAAATATTGTTATATTAAATTCATCTAAATTATTTCCTGATACATTCAAATATTCTAATTGTAATGTATAATTAAATGAAGTTTCATCTAAATTATCTAAAAAATTTGATGAAAAATCCAAATGTGTTAAGCTTGTCAATTCATTAAAACTTTTTGAATTGATTTCGATAATTTGATTGTGACTCGCATTCAACATCTGAGGAAGAAAAAAACAAAGCAGTTTTAATAAAATTTGTCTGGAAAGTATAGTTTAGTGATTGTTTATGATTTGAATTATAATCTGAGGTTAAATTGAGATTAACAATACTTTCCCATGTTTAATCATTAATTTCATCATTAATTTCCCAAATCGTTTTGATCTAAATTCGATTTGATGAGCATTAAATGTAATAAGTGCTCAAATTTTACATAAACCAATTATTTTAGGAAGTCAAAATGTCTCTGTTACATTCATCGATCATTACAAAGATTTTAGTTTTATTAATGATTAGGGAATTAATAATAGGTTACTTTGCGATTGATTTAGTGCCAGTTGTTTAAGCCTATTTTATTAGAATTTAGAAACGGAATGATAATTAAATTTGTTAATTGAACAAATCTTAAAAAAATTACCGAATTTTAACAATATTTACCGAATTTCTAAAATATTTAAAATTTCTATAAATTTATTTAAGAAAATTTATAATTACCAAAATTTTGAAGCTACTTAAACTTATTTATTTTTTTGTTTAATTGTAGGTATGGTCACCATAAAATAATTTTCAAGGATAATTATAAGAAAACTGGAATAAAGGACGAAAAAAGTGAATGCTCCCATTAGAAAATTAAAATTTTTTTCATAATCCAGTAGCCAAAAGACAACAGTTCAAATAGTCCATTTAGAAAATTGTGGAGGAGAACCAAAAGCATTCCTGTACTGTTTTCATCAAATATTTAGTAATATCAAAATTTACAACATTTATATTGTTATCAGTTTTTTGGGAATTTTGTAGAATTTTAACGTAAATTCCTCGTTAAGTGAAAATTAAAAATGCAGTTTGGATCTTGTACAAGTTTGGATTTCCGATTTTGAAGAATGAGATTTTAGATATGTTTAGCAGTTTTGTATTCTGTTGATATCCAGATTGTAACTTTTATTTTCTTGAACACAAAGCCGTTAATTCTTAGAATGGTTTTGTTTTTGAACTGGAGATAAATCTATTTTTCATTTTATTTACTATTGAATTATTTTAGATTAACCAATTTTAGGTCAACATTACCATTTCTAATGTTAAATATAATTTTGCAAATTTTAAGTTTTATTTTAAAATAAAATATTTTAATTTTTTATATTATATTATTACTTACCTCCAATGAATGTAATCCACTTAATGTATTTTCATTTAATTCAGTTATTTTATTATAACTAATATCTAAATCTTTTAATTCAAAATCTTTAGCAAATGAAAATTGTTCTAAACTTTCAACATTATTATAACTAATATTAAAATGTACTAATCTAGCTAAACTTAATATATGCATAAAATTTAATGTTGTTATACGATTACCCTCTAAACGTAATGTTTTTAAATGGGTATTCGTTTCGAATGCCATTTCATCAATATGCTCAATTTGATTATAATGTAATGCTAAATTACTTAATTTAATTAAACCATGAAATGTTTGTATTGTTATACGTTTTAATAAATTTTTACCAATATTTAAATATTTTAAATGATTCATAAGTGGACGAAATGTTTCAGCTGGTATTTGTTTTATATAATTAACAGCAAAATTTAATTTTTGTAAATTTGGATAACGTTGAAAATTTTTTGAATTTATTTCATATATTTGATTACGTCTTATATCTAATGATATTAATGATGTTAAATCAATTACTGACCATGATTTTAAACCAGTTAAATTATTACGTGCTAAATTTAAATATTTTAAATATTTTAAACCATTTAATGCAAAATCTTCAATATCATTTAATTGACAATCGGATATTTCTAATGTTATTAAATTTGGAAATTTAATAAATGCAACATTATATAATATTGGTATATTACAATGTTGTAAATAGATTTCTTGTAATTGATTTGATCTTTCTAATAAAATTTTCATTAAATCATTATTTAATGAACAACTAAATATATGAACTGTTTGATTATTTAAATCAAAATGTATAAATTTTTCATTATCATTATATTGTTGTGTTAATTTTATTAAATTAATAATTATTATTATAGTTGAAATGAATTTTATTAATTTCATTTTTTGATTTTATTAAAATTACAAATTAAAATTACAAATGTCTCTAAATATTAAATAAAATTTTTTTAAAGAGAACCACACACGCAATATGTTATTTTTAAGGCAAATTTTAAATTTCAACTAAAATTTTTCTTATTTTATTTTAATCCATAATAGTTTTAATTATCCATTATATGAATGCATCACCATAAAGATAATATTCTAGAAGAATGTTGTTGGTTATAAGCATTTTAAATCAATCTTGTCATCTGATAAGAAAATCACTTTTAATCTACTTTATTCTTTCGGTTTTTTAGTTTTTGTTTTGTTTAATTCTGTTATTATCAAATAAATAAAAAAGATAAATTAAAGTAAATATAAAAAATTTAAGTCTATATTTACATTTCACTATTATAATTAATTTGCAATTCAATTATATTTAAAAATGATGTTAGTTTGTATGATGTTGTTCTCTTCTAGAGGCATTTTAAAGTATAATATTGTAATATTTTTGTTTTTTTTTTTGTTAGTATAGATTATCTTTCCATTTTTAATACAAGTTTTATCATTTTAGGTGCCTAGCATAGCTGATACTAATAGCGAAATATTGCAAGTAGATTCAAAAAATGAGGAGACTATGAAACATGAAATTGTGTACTGTACAAGTATGTTCAATATCAAAATTTAATCCTTCAATGCATATGGCACGTTTTCAGTTTCATAAGAATAGAATAAAAAACTGTTTGAGCCTAAATTAATTGTCCTTTTCGTACAAAATTGAAATTTTTTATAATTTTGCACGAAATTTGTATTAATTTTTTTTTACTGAAATTTGTTATAATTTTGCTTCAACGTGCGTATTACAGGATTTAATATATTTGTGAGTTAATTATAAAAATTTTAAAAGTTTTTTAAAACAACTTTATTAATATTGATTATTCTTTTTTTTTTAGATTGAATTATTTGAAATGAATAAAAATTTCTTAATACTATTGATTTTATTAAAAATGAAGGTGATAATTCAAAAGTGATATTGGCTTTGTCGAAAAAATCTATGAAATTTATTTGCAACATGTTTGATTTATTAACAACATAATATTATGTATTAACAAACAACATGTTCGATTTATTTAAAAATTTATTTGCAACATGTTCGATTTATTTAAAAATTTATTTGCAACATGTTCGATTTATTTAAGATGGCAAAATGAAACCACACAACAAATTTCATAAAGCAAACGAAGTAAACGAAAATTTGTTTTTGTATAAGATTAAATCGTTGTAAAAGATATTTTTATACTGTAAACGAGAATGAAACACTGTCTTATACAAAAATTTGCTGGTGACAACACTGAAAACGCTCTATACGAAAATAAAATATAGAATAAAATAGTTTAAAAAAAGCTTGTACGTTATCCGCATACACTATTCAAATAACCACGTGAAAATAAAACAATAAAATGAAAAAGAAGAGTAAATGTATGTAAAACGTATATATATATAAATGATAACGGGGTGTGTACAACTAAATAACGTTAAAAATATTGAAATACTTGCGGTGCTTAACTTAACCATCTATTACAATTATTTTTTTTTTAATTATATTTTATTAGGCGACCGCGTAAGTAATCATAATACCCCGACAATTTAAAAGAAACTGCATAATTATAAAACTGAAATTCAAACTATACACGGTCATTGTACATAATAGATTCTCACATATTTACATACATTATATGTATATGCATAAATTAAGTATCTACTTATTTGCATTTTATTTGTCTATAGAATATTCATTTTTATTTATATTTTTAATTTTTACATTATTTAAGTTTTATAACCTCTTTGAGAGGTTTTATTATAATAGATCTATATTATGTTATTTAATGTATAGATGGGTATAACGTATGACATGAGAATTTTACTTTAAAAAAAATATTACAAACCATTTATTAAAATTACAGTATGCTCGTAATTCCATTGTAAATATATATTTATAAATAATTAGCACATAATTGCAACTCTATAATATATAAAAATATAATATTTATTTCTAGATCATGTAAGTACAGAAAATAAATTGAAAAGCACCTCTATATTTTGGACATTACAATACTAGGATATTTCAAAAATGGTTTATATCGATTCTATTATTTGCATTTTATTTTTTAAAACAGCAATCATAAAGTTTCTTCAAGACTTTATGATTGTTGTTATTACGTCATTACCAGATTTTGTGTACCCAACATAGACCGACTGATACTTGGCCTGGATTAGAACTAATCCTCATGGATCAAGGCCAAGGTCAAGGGCTTCTCTCCCGTAGAAAAAAACCCAACTATAATTGGAGATGTTTTCGATTGTTGCTTAATTAGACTGGTAATTTTCAAGTTATTTTTAAAAGGGCCCTGAAATGACAAAAATTAAAAAAAAAAATCGCGAACGTAAACATAAAAATAGTACATATGTACATACATACAGAAGCCAAAAATAAATTTAAATTTTGAAAAATTGTTTTATGTTTTAATGAGGAAAAGTTTTCATACTAATTTAAAGTATGTGTAAGTCTTAATATAATGTATCAGTGATAATGGGCAGTATTTTATTATATGGCAGTATAGAATTATTAAAGTCGATTAGTCAAATTTCACTATTTTTTTGCTTCTGTTGGAACAATCGGTTCCATTTCTGTAATAGTGTTAATCATATTAATACGACAGTGCAGTTTCTTTGGCATAAATATTAATGAATAATCCAAATCTAATTTTTCAGCAATTTTCCTACCGTGATCGAAATTTTCCTTTATTCAAGTTAGTTTTGCCGAACAAAATCGCCCATTCGTAATAAATGTTAGGTGCTGTTGGACTTGCTTGTATATTTAATAAGTTACTCATGAATGAATAGGTCCGAAAATGGAAGTTAAGTTTATTTAGCAGTCGTAAATTGTTATAGAATTGCTGTTACATTGACTCTATAGAGACGAAATACTTACGAGTATAAATAAATAAACTTTTAATATAAAAAATTTATTTGAATGTTAATAAAAGTATCTAAGCAACAAAATATTGATTTTAATATATTCTGTTTGTCATTTTAAAATAAATTCTAATATTTTGAATTTTAGACTTTGTCAGCATAATACGGAAACTTGAACATTTATTTAAATTGGATATAAACCATGGTTTTGAGTAAGTTTAATTTTTAATTATAAATAATTTAATTAATAATTAATAAATATTTTATATTACAGTCACTGAACAACTAATTCGAAAAAAATCCGAACATAATGAATTAATTATTAGTACATTAGAAGAATTGTCCTTACATCAAGAGGATATTGAAAAAATTGAACATTTACATAATTGGTGCCGTGATTTAAAAATCCTTCTTCTGCAATCAAATCTAATTAGTAAAATTGAAAATTTATATAAATTAAAGAAATTAGAATATTTAAATTTAGCAATGAATAATATTGAATTAATTGAAAATCTTGAACAATTAGAATCACTTAATAAACTTGATTTAACATTAAATTTTATTGGTGATTTACGAACTAGTATAGAGAATTTAAAAAATAATTATAATCTTCGTATATTAATTTTAACTGGTAATCCATGTACTGATTATCCAAATTATCGTGATTATGTAATTGGAAAATTAAAACAACTTGAAAATTTAGATAATATTGAAATAAAACCATCTGATAAAATTCAAGCTTATAAAAATTTAGATAAAATTCGTTCAGATATTGTACAAGCTGAATTTGAATATAGTATTGAAAGAGATGAACAAAAAATTCGTGTACGTTTACAAAAAGAAGAATTGGATAGAAAAATGCAAGAAATTGATAATGAACAAGAACGTGTAAAATTATTTTGGAATACGAAAAGTGAAAATTGTCCGGAAACACGCTGTGACATTTCAAAACAACATCGTAAAGGAAAGAATTTAGATGGGAACTCAGAGAAAAAAGTAAAAAAATGTCCAAAATTATTTGCACCCTGCGGTAGACCATACAATTTAAATCAACCAAAATTAGATTTTAAACTTTTAGATGAAATAGATCGTTATGAATTGGAGCTGTCTGTGTATAAGTAAGTTATGAAATTGGAAAATTGGAACAAATAATGCTATTCCAGTAAAACCAAATTATAATATAAGCAATCACATGTATACTTCGTTAAAAATTTATAAGAAATCTAAATGTGATTTCATGAATTTATAAGAGCTGTTAATTGAAATGAATTTATTCGAATTTTTGATGTTTATATTAGTAATATTAGATTAGAATATTATCACATAATTAAAGCAGTTCTAGAATTAATTAACAACTTTATGGTGATTGACATTTTTTAAACTGTTCTGTAAGGCCTTAGCCGTATACTAAATATTTATGTAGGCTTGAAAATTACTGAATAACTAGTAAACTTTCTTAGAAATACTATTTATATGACAGTTTACAGTCCTGTGCTAATATTATATTTGGTAAAACTATAAAAAATTTTGTAAGGTTGCCAAATTCAATTATAATACACATGTTTACTATACACACCAGTTTTTTTAATTTAATATTTTCTTATTTTTTATAGGTTTATGGATACTTCTTTATTAAAATGTGATGTTCAACCGAATTATGTTCGAGTAGATGTTAAAGATAAAATATTTCAATTACATTTACAAAATGAAGTAAAATGTAGTGAATCTTCGTCGAAACGTAATCAAATAACTGGACAATTGTTAATTGTTATGCCTAAATTGAACTATAAAGCTACCGATATTATTAAAACGCAATCTGGTAAGTGTATATGCGTAAAAAAACTAAGAAATTCAACAATAATTTTATTCCTTCGTTTCTCGTTTTTAAAAATTTCAAATTTTTTAAGTTAAGACACTTCAAATGTTTTTATTACTTGAATTCTTTATATAAGAATTTATTTTCAATTTTGGGATTGAACTATCCCTAATGTATTTATATCTAACTATAATTAGATATAAAGACATTACTATTCCTATTTATTTGTAGATTTCTTTTTGATATTTTAAATTTTAATATTTTTTTCCAATATTTAATTTTAATTTTGAAATTAATATTACAAATTTTGATTCCCTTTGTTAAATGAAATTAATTGAGACTAAAAATACGAGTATAAAATATATTAAATAAAATAATAAATTCTTTAATTATATTTTTAGAAAATCGTGAACATCAGAAACAAAGTAGCTCAAACAATCCAAAAGAGTAAGTTAAAATACAATTTGATTAATTTCTAAATCTTTTTTTATTAAATTTTTAATAAATTCAACATTTGTAAAAAAATTATTTTAATTTTAAATCGTTTAGCGGGCTTAACGTAAGAGTTATACCCGAGCTATTTCTGTTATACATTGAATATTAAGATACACAGTCTCTTCTAGGATTAAAGAGTATTAAAAGATCTCTTCCAACAAAATTTTATCTCTTCCAACAAAAATTAAAATAAAATGTACGAATTTTTTATTTTGCTACCAAAATTAATATTTTCTAGATTCTTATAATTTTCCCATCCCACGGAAATCATCAAATTTCCTTGATTTTTTTTTAATAATGTAATAATTAGGTTCTAAAAAAATTATTTCGACTCTTAAACATTTCTAGTATTTGGGGTATTCTTCTTATTTAACTTTTGTTCTCATACTCTCATGTATTCTTTTATTAATATAAATTAATTCTATTAATAAAAGAATAACTATTTTCAATTCATCATATTATAATATCATAGGTATTGTTTCAATAAGAAACGTTTCAAAATGCTTAAACGAAACAATAATTGGAAAATAAAAATATAAATTGCAAATTAATGTACTCGTAGGGAGGTATGAATTATTTCTTAGACTTTACGATTCTTCATGTATTCTCTAAAAAAATTATAATAAAATTTTTTCATTTTTACTTTGAATTTATTAAAGAAGGTGATATAAAATTTAACAAGCATGTATATATATTCTTACCTTCAAAAATTTCTTAATGCCCCAATCATATTTAAGAATTGCATTTCAGTAAAATAATGAGTATATGAGCATTAACAGAATACTGAACTTTCATTTTCAATTGCTGCAAACCTGGAAATAAAAATTTTTCAAACAATTTCAAAATTTTTTATTAAAGTTAAGCAATTAGAATTTTAAATTTTTTTTAGAGTTATTTTGCAATAATTTATTGTCTTATTATGTATGTGCGAATTTACAAAGAATTTTGAGGAATGTGGCAATTTCGGGTTCATTTAGTGTATCGAATTAAGTAAGGTTAATTGTTGAAAGTTTAAAAAATAAAAATTTTATAAACAATAACCGGTATACTTAGAACAAGAAAATATTAAAAGTTATAAATACAATTTTGACGGAAGAATCAGTCTGCTTACTGTACCCTGCTGCCATTTTGCCCAAAATAATTGTAGAATAAATTTTTTTGGGCGTACGGCGTATATGACTTACAAATACCAGAAATTTGACTAGATCAAGAAAATTTGACAAGTTGGCGAGAATTCGCCAGCCAATATTATTTAAATAGCAATATTGAAAATTTAAAATAAAATTTTAAATAAAACAAAACTTAATTTTAATTTTTTTCAAATAATTTTGACAACATTTATTTACTTCTTTTTTAATTTTTTTTTTTTAAATAAATTTTAGTTTTTTTTTTTTTGTTTTTTTTTTTTAATTTTATTTTAATTAACTATTAAATATAATATTTTCTTTCTATTGTTTTTTTTTTTTGTTTATTTAATTTTTTAATTTTTTTTTATTTTATTCAAATAAAATAAACTTTTGTTCCATTTCATATTTTTTTTTCAGATTATATAGGAAATTTTTCTTTGTTTTTTTTTATATTCATTCCTTCAATTTATTTATAATTTTTTCTTTATTAAATATATATATATGTATGTATGAATATATATTTATATAATTTGTTTTTCTAACATTTAATTTTCTTAAATATCTATATATATATATATATATATATTTTTTTTTTTAATTTTTAATATTTTATTTTTTCTTATTAAATTTAATTTTTTTTTTTCATTTTCTAGCAATTTGAAAGGCACAGTTAATTACAAAAATATCGTTAAGCCGAATGAAAAACAATTAGAGTCACAGACCAATTCTGTAGATCTAAAAGAAATTCCAGCTTTAATTTAAAAAAAAAAAAAATATATAAAATGAAAATTGAAGAAACATAAAAGAAAAATAAAATGCGGTAAATAATAATAAATTAATTGTTTATTTGTTTGTTTGTTTGTTATTTTAAATATTTTTTTTAATATATTTATGCATTGCTCCTTGCCATTTTTTTTGTTTAATAATTAAATAAATAAATAGTTCTCTTCTTTAATTTTGGTATTTTAAACATTTTTAATTTGTTAATTAATTTCTAGAGAATTTTAAGAGAAAAAAGTATTTAGGTTTTTATGAAAAAACAATTCTTAACGTTAGAACTATGTTAAATACTCAAAGTTACAGGGATTTTCGGTAACTTATATTTAAAAATGTAGACAGAATTAATTTCTAAATTAAATTTTCAAAATCTTATTTTTTCATAATTACAGATGAAAACGAGAAAAAAAGTAGAGTTGACCTTGTCAACTCTGTGATACCCGTACTAATTTGTTATCCTATGTGCGAATAACTAATGTGCCATAACTAACTATGGGGCAGACTATGACTTTAAGTTGCCGTATTACCATATTAATTTATGCAAAATTTCAGTACTATGTGTTTTTCAAAATACTGGTTGTGTCAAACTACTATTGAAGTTGTATGGCGGCTACCAGAAAGAGCCAAGAAATTTTAGCGAATTTTATCAAGCACATCGGCCATACTAATATATTCACTTGTGTGAAATCTCAATATCACAGCTTTTATAGTTTCTAAGATATAGCCAAATAACTTTTGAAGTTGTACGGCAGGTACCAGAAGGAGCCAAATAATTTCAACGACTTTTATGAGACACATTGGCCTTACTAATATATTCGTTTGTGCGAAATTTCAATACCATAGCTTTAATAGTTTCTGAAATATAGTCAAATAACTTTTGAAGTTGTATGGCAGGTACCAGAAGGAGCCAAGTAATTTCAACGACTTTTATGTGACACATTGGCCCTATTAATATATTCGTTTGTGTGAAATTTCAATACCACAACTTTTATAGTTTCTGAGATATAGCCAAATAAATTTTGAAGTTGTATGGCAGCTACCCGAACCGGTACCCCGATCACGTCCAATTTAAATAGGGTTCTGGCACTTACTACAATAAATCATTTGTGAAAATTTGGTGAACTTAGCTCAATTAGTTTTTGAGTTATCGTTCGGACGGACGGACGGACGGACAGACAAAGCTAAATCATCTCAGAATTTGACGCTGATCAAAAACATACACTTGAGTCTATATCTAACACCGTTATTTCTTAGCGTTACAAACGGTAAGGCAAATTTAGTATACCCTTCGAACATACGTTCGTACGGGTATGAAAATATGAAATGACTTGCTTTTGAAAATTCATAATGGATCTCAGGGCTTTCTCGGAAATTCATCACTGAGCTGACTTAATTAAGTTAGATTAAAAAAAAATGTTTCTTTCAAACAGTTCTTAAAAAAAAAAACTACATATGTACCTAAAGTATTTCCAAAAAAACTTGTAGTTTTTGCAGTTCTTGTAGGAGTAAGAAGGTAAAAATTTATAAATTTTATTAAGAAACACTGAAATCATAAAAATTAATATTTTTTTTTAGTCTAAAAATTCTTCTATATCCGGTATTGGTTGAATTTGACTTTTGCAGTTCTGACTACGAGAGATCTTACTAGTAAAAATTGCTCAGCAATAGAAACTACTAAGAAATCCTGGTGAATCAAAAAGTTTCAGTTATATTTTAATGACATTAACAACTGATATTATATTTCAATAATAAGTTCTCTACTTGTACAGTTAAAAATTAAGTTTTGTATGTGTTTTGGTATGAAAAGCCGCTATGTCCCACAATTTTGTAGATTTAATATTTTTCTTATTTAAAGTACTTTTAAAACTGTTTATAAATAAAAACTTTAAAAATACATCAGAGCTTTTAATAAATATAGTTGCATAGTTTTCGAATATGCCATTTTGGCAAATTTTCTAGTTTTAATTTAAAGGGCATAATACTTTATATAAAAATCTAAATTGGAACTACATATCTCTTTCATATATAATTTAATTAAATTGAAAAAATTTTGAAGCTAAAAATTTCAAACCTTAAGAATTGTATTTCCAAAAAAAAAATTTACCCCAATTACACTTGGTCTATTTTGTTTTATATTTGTCTTATTTTTATATACATATATTTTTTTTTCATTGAATAGGAACGTGGCGCGAAATTATATTTTGCATTTGATTTCTTCCTTGTTTTGTATTAGAAAAAAAAAGCGTCTAGGCGTTATTGTTATTTTTATTATTGAAGTGTCTTTTATACGTAATATACTTCATTTAGATTATGAGAAAAATTTTCTACCAAATATTAGAAAAATAATATCTTGCAATTTGTGAAAGAAAACCTCAATAATATTCTCCAGAATTAATCTTACTTTAATCAATTTTTTGGAGGATCGAGTAATGAATACATAATTCCAATATTTTTCAAATTTTCGGAATCGATAATTAAAATTTTTTAATTTTGAATGGTAGATTTTCCCCATTAGACTACGATATATTATGTCTTAAGATAATGTTCCAAATTAAAAAGCTAAATTTGAAAAAATATTAAACACAATGAAAATATGAAATGCAGAGAAATAAGAACATACTATACCAAAATGCAGAACTAATGTTGTAACTTATTCATCTAATAAAATTTTAATAGATGAACAAATTTAAATTGACTAACACTGGATCTACATTTTGGTAGACATTCAAAGATTTTGTCTAAATTTACTTTTATAAATAATAAATGCTACTTATATTGCTTTAATAAAATATAATAGTTTTGTTTTCTTATATAAACCTCAAAAACTAAAATTTATATACACAAAGCGATTATATAAAAATTTAATTTTTTAATTATATTAACAGACTGATAGCGATCACATTGTACGTTTAATTTACTACACAGAGTTCATTTGGAGAACTACATACTAGCTATTTCTCTAAAATCTACATATTTATATTACATATATATATATATTATCGATGTACATATAAATTAATGGAATATGTATATATAAGTGCTTAATTTGGAAAATATAAGTATATTAACAAATTAAATTTAATGTTGCAAATTATGTAAATTCCTGAACCGTTTTAAATAGATTTAATTCTCTATTCCAATATTTTTTTTAACCTCCTAGCAAAGGTACAAAACTACTGAAAATTTAAATATAAAAGCAATTAATTAAAAATCAAAATTCAAAATACATATACTAAATAATTTAGAAAAAATTTTAGAAATAAAATTATTTGATCTACATTAACAGCCCAATCCTTCTTTAATCGATGTATAACATTTTTATTATCGTTAATCTTTTATTTTATTTTTTTATAAAAATTACTAAATAAATTAGATAATATTCGAAAATGTAGAAAAAATAAAATTTCAATTGCTTAACAAATAAATTTATAATAGTATATGGCAACTCCATTAATTATGGAAGAATGCTAATAATATCTTTAAACCTTTTTAAATGTGATTCAATTGAAAAGGGTAAAAAATTTTCTTAAATTAGTATTTAAATCTGACCATTGGTGCAGTGGTTATGGCACCGGCCCTTTAAACGAAGGGTCTCGGGTTCAAACCCCGGTCAGGTCACTATGAAAATTATATTCAATATTATATAACTTAATATGCAAATACTAATAAAATATTATACAAGTAATTTTCAAATGTTCATAATATTCGATACTAAAAACTAAGAAAAATTAACAGTAAATATTAATAAACTGAAATATTTAATATAAATAAAAACTACGGTAGACTAGTCACCTACCTAGCTAACTCTCTATGACTATAGAAACTAGAGCCATCATAGATATCATGCACTAGCCCTATACTCCTCCTAGGAGTGAAGAAGGAAAAAAAAAAAAAAAAAAGTATTTAAATAATTTATTTAATTTTATAATCTTAATTTTAGATTCAACAAGTTCAGAAAAGTCTCGACTGAAATCATCAAGTCTCGGCTGAAATCATCAATAGAATACAATTTGGAGCAATATGAATAGAATACAAATTGGAGCAATAATCAGATTCATATTCAATACCTTAAAGGAATACCTTGAAGAAATTAAATTGCATACAGATGTTATTCAAAGGTGTATAATTAATAGCCCACATTGTAAAAACTTATTAGAATAAATTTGGATTAGCTATATTATATTCCAGCTTCTTATAGTAATTCTTTTATTGAAAACATTTCAAATATTGGGGCATCTGGTTATTGTTTTTTTATCATTTACATTTTTATATGAAACTAACATTCATTTTTTGGTATGTCATTATTAAAAAAAATCAAACTGCTGCGGTCAGCATATAACCGTAGAAATTGTAAAATCGGTACCCATTTCGGTTTCCGAGCTCTGATATTGTCAACACATAGTTGAGCTCTGATATTCCAAAAAAATATTATACGTTCATTGTTTTATCACCTTTGAATTCAGATATTAAATTTCAGAGAAATTGGTTGTAGAGAAATTTTTTTTCCTTATAATGTGCAAAAATGTAAAATTGGCTGGTAGTAAAAGTTCAGTTATTGACTCCTGAAACCGTTTCATGCACAAAACAAACTCAGATTTGGTGAAAATTGGTTCAACTAAACTTCAGGTAGCGAATTGTATAGGCAGACTGAAAACAAAATGGACACAGACAGGCCAACCGACCGACATCTCTTTTAAAAATAATTTATTTTTGCTGCCCTAGTATTTAAGTTAGATGATGAATATTAACATAACAGCCAAATTTTTATATTCAATTAAATTTAAGTACAAATTTAATTTAAAATGAAAATTAAAATTAGAATTGCAATTTGTTTTTTCTACATTTACGAATTTCTCATTTTTTTTTTTTAGAAAATTATAATTTTTTTTTAAATATTTAATTGCTTTTTATATTTTTTTTTTTAAATTAAATTTTTTTTGTTAACATTTTCATACTATTATTATTTTTTTTTTTCGTAAATAATTAATTATTAATTTTGCTTGTTCGTCTATTACCCTTAATGAAA